CAAGGCAGATTCAGTACTGTACCCGGGTCTGAAGCCAGACTGAAAAGGATCCAGATAATCAGTTTCATCCAAGAGTGCTTGGAGTTGTCCCGCCACCACTCGCTCCAACACCTTGCCCAGAAACAGGATGTTGGCCACAGGTCTATAGTTAGTGGCCATCTCTGGATCCAGTGACGCTTTCTTCAGGACTGGTCGTATTACCGCCTCCTTTAAAGGGGCAGGCACTCGACCCTCCCTCAGAGAAGCGTTAACCACTTCCAAGATCCAGGTCGCAATCCCGTGCTTGGAGTTATTTATTAACCAAGACGGGCAAGGATCCAATAGGCAAGTGGTGGGACGTACTCGTCCAAGTACCTTGTCCACATCATCGGGCCGCAATAATTGAAATTCCTCCAACAATTTTGGACCAGTCGGTAGCATTGGCGTCTCCCCAGAGACCTCTGATTCATTAGTGGAGTCCAGCTCGTGACGAATCTGAGCGATTTTCTCCCTGAAATGCCTGGCAAAGTCGTCACAGCAGGCCTTTGAGGGTGGTATCGGACCTTCCTTAGGCCCCGGGCGAACCAGGCCTTGCACCACTCGAAAAAGCTCCGCCGGACGGCATTGTGAGGAGGCAATGGAAGCGGAAAAAAACTTCTTTTTCGCCGCCTTCACCACCACAGCATAAGCCTGATAGTGGGCTCTCAAGTGTGTTCGATCAGATTCATCCCGTGATTTCCTCCACCTACGCTCCAGTTGTCTCCCAACCTGCTTCATCGCCCGCAATTCAGGTGTATACCAAGGGGAAGAGCGGACTCTGCCTGGTGGGAGAGGACGCTTGGGAGCGATCATGTCCACGGCCCTGGTCATCTCTCCGTTCCACAGTTCGACCAGAGCCTCGACAGGAGCACCAGTCTTGTCAGCTGGAAACTCCCCCAGGGCCTTCAGGAACCCATCCGGATCCATCCGGCTCCGGGGACGGGCCTATACAATCGGGTCCGCACTCTTATAGAGGGAGAGGCCGCTCTCGAGCACAAACCTCACCAGGATGTGTTCTGACCATGACAGGGGAGTCAAACATAAGTTCCTCACCCTCAGGTCATCCTCTTCCTGCCCCGTCGAGAAAACCAGGTCCAGAGTGTGTCCACGTTCATGGGTCGGGCCGATGACGTGTTGAGACAGGCCCATGGCCGTCATAGAGGCCATGAAGTCCTGAGCCGCCCCAGTCAGTCCAGACTCGGCATGGAGATTGAAGTCCCCCAGGACCAACATCCTGGGGGTCCTCAACACCAGGTCCGAGACGGTCTCTGTCAGCTCAGATAGGGAGACTGCTGGGCAGAAGGGTGCACGGTACACCAATAGAATACCCAATCGGTCTCGTTCGCCCAACACCAAGTAGAGGCACTCCAGCCCTGGCCTCGAAGGGACCAGAAGACCCGTGAGAGAGATGGAGGCTCGGTAAACCAATGCGACTCCCCCTCCCCTCCCTTCTGGGCGTGAACAGTGTTGAACCAGATACCCGGGCGGGCACAATTGGGAGAGGGCAACATCCCCTCCCTCTCCCGCCCAGGTCTCCGTTATGCAAGCCAGGTCGGCCCCCTCATCCACAATCAAGCCATGGATGAGGGAAGATTTATTATTGACCGACCTGGCATTGAGAAGCAGCACCGTCAGGCCTGAGGGGTGGTTGACAAGGCTACCTGGCGCCCTCTGGCTGGGGGCAGAACCAGAAGGAGGGATAGGTGTCAGCCATCTGTCCATCCTTCTTCTACGTGGACACGTTAAGCCCCTATTGCTGTAACGACCATTGCCCGTGACCACGCCAATAGCAGCGGCCGTGTGTTCCCCAGGATATATAAACGTTGACATGACCAGGGATGACTCAAAGCACTGATTAAAGCAGGGTAAAATTATAAAGCAGGTCAAAGGAGGAGAAAAAGAACGATAAAAAGAAAAAGAAAGGGGGGGGAAATCCTTCCCCTTCCCTAAGATTCAGCAGTAGGCAAGCCTATTTCAACAAGAGTCCTTGGCCAGCCCAGCCCCCCTCTCGTCCCCTGAACGGCACCCCAAACGGTGGTGACCCCCTTTGGTCGCCGCCCTTCGGCCGCCGGCCCCGGCCACTGCTTTGAGTCCGCAGGGTGCCTCCGAGTCCCACCCCGACGCCCGATCACCTGGGCCAGCGGGCGGCACTCTCTGGTGCCGCGTGCGCCTGCGCTGGCTGGTGGAGCTGGCTGCCGTTGACATCGTGGCCGCGTGCGTCTGCCTGCATTCGCTTGCCCACGCAGAGGCTCTTTTCTCGTACCTAAACTACCTCACAGTGTTCTTGTGATGATAGAATGGGATATGGAGAACCATGCAGAGCTTTTCTGTGACATGAGACAGAGTGGCAGCCTCAGCTGAATTTGGGTATCATCAAAGAAAGCAAGCTGTTGATTATTGAATGTATTACAGCATAGTTTTACAACCAGGGAGGTGTCACATTATGTTGACTGGACTTGGGCAATCAATGCCTTGATCTGGGGTTGTGGGAGCCTTATTTTCTGCTTTGCCTCAGACTGTAAAATGTCTTGCCCTGCTCAGCCATGTTGAGCTACTTGGAAGAAAGGTGGGATATCAGTGAAGAAACAAACCATATAATCAATAGAGCTTACTTCTAAGCAAGCAAAACTGTGGTTATGGTTGTTGTTTTTAAAATGTTAAACTTTTTGTAAACAATTGTAATCACATCTGTCTCTCAAGATGCTTCTAGACAGACGATGCCAAGCATGAACACAGCACTACACTTCTGTTATAAGCTATAACCAGAATTGCAATTGACTTTCTACCTTATCTAGGAATGTTAGGCATTTGTGGAGGTAAATTCAGCAGTGGATATATATAGCAATGGCAAGATGTGCTCAAGTAGGTTTCAGGGTGGCAATGCATCCTCCTCACCCTCAGAGGTTGCCTTAGCACTCTTCTTCCATCTTTATTAAGAAGCGTGGTTTTGAGCCACCCTTCATAAATCAACACATGTTCATGGTTCCCTCTGCAGTGCATCCAATTGTTTTTGTCCATTTATTTTATAAAATCAATATTTTAAGTAAAGCCAAAATAGTTTCCTAGCTATTTTTTAAGAATATACAAGTAGCGAAATACCATTTCTTAAGAGAAAGAGAGCTAAGCAGCTGTAGCTCTATGATGCAAGATATGTATTTCAAAATGAAGTGGGAAGCAAACTTTTCTTGCACTGTTTTAGCAAGGTGGTTAATAGAGAAGGTATCTAGAAAGATTTTTTTAAAAAGTATAATAGGATTTCACTGTACCCTTATAGTTCTAAAATACATTTTCTCTCAAGTAGCATTATAGAAGAATAACACTAACAATATAATGCTGATTTTAAAAAAAATCATTTTAAACTGTTCTTCCTAGCCATTGTCAATAGCTGCCTTGCTAAAATTGGAAATGGGTTCCCTCATCTAGACAGAGAAAGAGCATTACAGGACTGTGGTGCTACATTATTTCATTTAAATGACACTTTGTTGTTATTTTAATGCATTTTGTTAAGTTGGAAAGGTGTTTTAAAGATTTATAAACGAATGAACTAGCAATAAAAATTGCACCCACCACAAAGTCCTTAGTGGCTGTGTGCTGAGCTATTACAGATTCACTTGCTTTATAGGTCACTGTTCATGTCATGATTGTGTTCCTGAAGGAAGGCAGAAATGCAGCAGGACATCTACACCTAAGGGCTATTTCACCTTGCTTAAAAAAAGAATAGCTCAAACACAGAAAGACAGTAATCAGTAAACACAAAAGGATTACAAATGGACAATGATGTTATGCAGCCTTTGTGTAAGAGAACGACCACCGTGATACCACTAGGCTTGCACACACAATCATGGACTTATACCACTTGTTTACTCAAAGTAATTATCACCCTCTGATTTTAATCAGCATTTGCAATTTCATGTGGCACTGAAACACAAGAGCCATCATCTCATGGCCTGCTTGGGCTGATGGGCAGCAACTGACCCAAGATCACCCAGTGAGCCTCTTAGCTGTTGTTAGTTTTGAAGTCGTGTCCGACCCTTTGCGACCCCATGGACAACATTCCTCTAGGCCTTCCTGTCCTGCACCATCCCCCGGAGTCCACTCAAGCTCACACCAACTGCTTCAGTGACTCCATCCAGCCACCTCATTCTCTGCCATCCCCTTCTTCTTTTGCCGTCAATTAGCTGAGAGGGGCGCAAAAGTGGGTCTTCCAATTCTGAATCTTGCTACTCCAGGGATGAACCCATAGCCCAAGCTCCTTTCTCTTTCCAATACCTCTGCCTTCTAGCAAGAGCAACATATTCTTCCTCAGCTGTCCACGAAAGAGAGAGGAAGTTGCAGAAAAAAGAGTGGCCCCGCCCACTTCCAGTTGTGACCAAACCCATCATTAGCCTTGGCTCCGCCTCCGGACAGGATAGGGCAGGGGACTTTTGGCGGAGAAATGGTTTCCAACCTGTCCACCAGGAGGCTGAAAATTAACTGGTCCCCTAGTAAAGCACTTTAGGCGCGGAGGTCCCCGATCAATGCCAATTCAGCTAATTTAAACTTTACAAAAGTTTATCTTCCTTTCCAATGTGGAGACTTCGAATTCAAATAGAAAAAAGGTATATTTGACGGTATTTACAAACTGGCTCCGGACTGGAAAATAGTGGAGTTTTCTATCCCAGCGAAAGCAAGCTCAGACCGTCAAGACGTGAACACTTCGATAGATTCAGTTTCCCGCTTCCGCTTTGAATGCTCGAAGCCTTGGATGGGACAGACAGAGAGAGGCTATTTTTATCTCCATTTCCTCCCTATGCAGCTCTCTGAATTTCCCCTAACCTTTGCAGGGAAAGTCACAAAATGCATTTTCCCATTTCTTTCTGTTTCGGAGCGGCGGCTGCTTTAAGAACTAACCCCACCTCTTAGCTGAAGGGAGGGGTTCCCTGGCGGATGACGTCAGCAGCGCTCATTGATAAAAGCATGGGGATTCCCTGACCAGTGGCACAGAAAGAGCGTGCGAAAGTTCTGCTGCCGGCGCGCCACGTGCCTTTGCGCGTGCTTCGGAGAAAGGGTCGGCGTGTGGGGCGGCTAGCCGACCACGGTCGTAGTAAGTCATCCCCGTTAATCATGGAACCCGCCTGCTTCCTCTCGCCTCATCCGTTCGGCGAAAATATTATGGCCTCGGATCTGTACAAGCCTTCGCCGCCTACGCTCCTTTCGCCCAAATCTGACCGTACCGAGCAGCCGAAAGCGGCCGAAACTACCCGGATCATCAGCGACCCGGTCACGGGCAGATCATACAGCAGGGGCCGCCTGCTTGGAAAGGTACGTGCCGCGTATTTGCGCTATTCGGTGGGGTGTGAAGCGCAAAGCGATTAGATTTCGTAAGGAAGCTAAAGGCTGATGACCTGCTCCGTTACTGCCCGGCTGCTTTGCAGTCCATGATGTTAGAGAGGAGCGCTAAAGGCTGCCCCCCCCCCCCCCCCCGCTTCCAGTGTGTGTTTGTAGATGAAATGAACCGCATTATCGTAAGGAGAGATTTAGGAGTCGACCTCTTCCCCCTCCCCCCGCGCCATCCGCACTTGTAATAATCTGGCTCTTTGGGGCGCTTGCGGATTGCTGAAAATTGGGGAGCCAAAGCGTCTCCTTATCTGGCGAGGCTGACGCGAAACTGCGCTTCTCCTGTCCCGGCCTGCACTTATCCCGCCTTCTCTCTCTCCCCCACCGGCCCCGCTCCCCATCGCGACTTCGTTTAATCCTAGGCAAGCAAGTCCGGGCAACGCTCCCTCTCCTCCACCCCCGCTTAAGAAAGGCGGTACTCAAAATTCTTAACTCCTTAACCTAACTCTCCTCCTCCCTTTCTCCCCGTCATGCCTGAGCATACGTCCTCTTCCCTTCCTCTCTCTTTCCCTCGCGAAAGCCTGGAGATGCTCGCTCATTAGGAGTCGCTTTGTTCTCCCTGGGGAGGGGGCTTCTTTTAAATGAGGCTGCATGGACTGTTCAGCTCAGATCGATGCTGTGTTGTTGTGAACAAGAGGGAAATGGTTGTGGTTGCGGCTGTGACTGTTCTTTATTGTCAGGTTATTATTAGCTGTCAACATTATTATAGTTGCAAAGCATTGCAGCTTATTATAGCCTACCTCTTAGGATTTCTCCAGGTCCCCACTTGACTTGGAAAGCAAGGATTTATACCACAAGAACGTGAACCTCTTTTTCCTTCAGCATCTGGGAAATTCATCTGGTGAAGGGCTACCCAGGACAGGAGACCTTATTTGCCTACCTGCAGAGTTTGTTAGAGAGTAGACATTTGTTTGCTAGCTGTCTTCTGCAATATGCTGGGAATTTTTAGAATTGGATTTCTTGCAAACACTGTCCTGGATGGTTTCTGATCTTGTTCAGCAAGGCTTTTATGCTCTAGGATTTTTTTTAACACAGCTGCTGTAACTTTTAAGAGATTTTAAATATCCACTTCTGCTTCTTAAGCAGCATCCATGGGCCATAAGAGTTTGCCTACTTTATGCCCTACAGGTTATGATTCAAACTTGCTGTAGCTTTACTGGAACTAAAGTAGGTGCTAGGGAGAATAAAAAGCAGGCCACTGTATCTTAGAACGTCTACTCTTTATGGGGCTGGTGTACAGTGCTGGCCTTGGATCTTGGTGGTCTTGCTTTAAACCAGCCTTTCCCAGCTATCTGCTCCCATCAGTCCCAGCCAGTAATGCTGATGGTCAGGAAAGCTGAGAGCTAAAGTCCAAAACATCTGACTGGTATCAAGTTTGGGGAGACTGACCGGGGAGGCCTGATATACCTTTTTATGATGTTCTTTCAAGAGTATCTGGTTATTTGCTCAACAGTGGCCTTATTCCTCATGCAGAGCATGTTGTTGGAGTCCTAGATATTGGTGGAGTCACCATAGATTATTAAAGAAAACCTTAGTGGTTTAAATAGTCATTCAAGACTATTCAGTCTGGCTACTCTAAAAGAATATTTCTAGCTCTTATGACTGTGAAGCAACATGAAGCCATGGTAAATATCCCAAACATTTCAAAAAGAAAGATCTAGACAAGGTTTCAGTGATTAGGAAAGGGCCCTTCTATACATAAGCTTCCTTCAGTGACCAATTACTTCGAGATCCTATTCATTCCACATGCCACAGAATGCAACAAATGTCAGCCTTTGTTCTATTCTACAGCATCATTCTTGGACAAATGTAAATGTTGCATAGTGGCAGAGCTGTTGGTGAAGTCTGTGTGAACATGAATACTTCATGCTTGTTTTTAAATGAGAATACCCTTCCACCCCAGGAATTGGTTTTAGCAGCAAATCTGATACTACATAGTGATGAATAATGTTGGTTTAGATGCCAAAGGAATCAGGAAAAGGGGGAGGCACGAATGAAGGTGTCTCCACTGTGGTGTCATCGCACCCATAGGCATCTCCAGTGGCACACAGGGGTCCCCAGTGAGGTGCCCGTGCTTGAGGTCCTTCAGGGGCTGCTTACCTTCTTCCAAACACTGCAGAAGATGTTTCCTCTTCTACATTCTTCAAAATGTTCAGAACAGAATACAAGTTTTTAGTAATGACAAACACAGGACTCCACTTCACAGCATACTTCCTAAAATATACAAGAGCACATATCTGGCACTATCCATTGAGTAATCTGTGTAATCAGATTTCAGAATGAGAAGGGTGAAAGCATCATACACACACTGGAAACTTCTCTATTCACAGTGACCAAAGCTGACACTGTTGCAAAGATCATGCTTTGAAGGCAGAGCTGAGTTTGTTAGTTGCTTTTGCACCACATCAAACAACGTGACATGTCTTATGGAAAATCTGTTCATCGTGCATGGAGGTGTCTTGCTACTTCCAAATGCATTAACACTGAAATGTCAAGCTTACCCTGAATTTGGCAGTCTGCAGAATTCTTTCTGTCTCTTGCAAAAGCTCTTTTTGTGATACAAGCCAGAGTTGTTTCTCTGATGGTACACAAGCCAGGATTTTGTGTTGTAGAGAAACTGGTTTCTCTTCATTCAGAGTGTTGAATTGGTGTGAAGCTTATTTTGGGTGAGGTATTAGTTGCAGTGATAGATGCACTTTCTTGACTGCTGGAATAACCTGTCTCTAGAGTCATCTTTTTGTTGTTGGGTGTCCTGTGAACAAGGCTTAACCACCCTTTGCTGAAAAAACAAACAAACATAATGCTGGTAGGTGTGGGAAGGCCCAGAGAGGTAAACACAAGCTCTAGCATAGTGGGAGGTGTGAAACTGCATCTTGGATGTGTGTTAAAATCAGATCCAGAAGATTTAAAAATGTGTGTGTTTTATTGCTAGGTCAAATACATGTCTTCATATAAATAGCTGTTCAAATATAACTGCACAGCATGCTCAAACATTTGAACTGGGTAACTTTTAAAACTATGAATAAGATTGGAAGGGGATTTTGGAGCTTATCTAGTCTAACCCTTGCTCAGTGCAGGAATCTGCAACTAAATACCTCCAGTGAAGAAAAACCTACCACTTGGTGAGGTCATCTGTCTACTGTCTATTCTACTGTCAAACAGTTCTTACCTTAAAGGTTGGCTGAATTGTGCTTCCTACCAGTTCCACCCTTGCTTCTAGTTCCGCCATCTGGAGCAACAGCCAAATCTGCTCCACCTCTTGCATGACAGCCTTTCGGATATTTGGGGAATGCTTTCATGTCTCCCCTTAGGATTCTTTGCTCCAGGCTAAACATACCAGTTTTTTCAATCTTGCATACTTCATTTCTAGACGCCTTACCACTGTCCTGGGTGTCCCAAGTAAGTTACATGAATCTGCCCTCAAATCTTGAATATTCATGTTGGTATTGTACAATTAAAACCAAACTTCCCCCTGTATGAATTACTTCAAGTTGTCTTTCTAATCTAGATTAAAAACTAAATTTGGGTTCTATCAGCCATTCTTAATGTACTTGCTAAAAGAAAATAGTGGGATGAGAAGTATGGAGCATGCTTTTAAGGCCTGAACTCATGATGTGGGACTTAGGCACACACCACCTTCTCCTGAGCAAAATCGTGCTTTCTCGGGGGAGGGAATATGAAGCGGCACATGTGGTATTTGAGATGGTATTAGAAATTATATCTAGTGTGTAGCACTACAAAGCAAAAGCTTGCTTGGGAGATCATTGTGTTACCTTCAAAACACATCAGTCACTACTGTGTCTTGAGAGAAAGGGATGGGTCACAATTATCACTACCTGGTTTGGTTCCCATTGTAGCACACTTTGCCTGAGGTGACAAGTCAATGATTTTCAGCATATACTAGGTCTTTTTCACACTTAATAGTACATGATGACATCAGTCATGGGGAAACTGCATTTATGTAAACTTTGCCTAGGGCTGAATCCAGATTGATACAAATTCTGTTTCTACATTGCATAGAAGTGATAGCTCTTTCTAGAGTGTCTTGTGGTGTTTTATCTCTGTTTCCTAACATTGAGTGCTGTTAGGAAGACCAGAAGTCTGGAATGTGTAACAAGGAGAATTATGAACAATGTTCCAAGGTGTTTGCCAGATGTAGTCTTTCTCATCGCCTGGTATCCCAAATATTTTAATTCGATATCTAACATGGAATCTTTGTATAGGAAGCTTTATGATTTGCAAATTGTGGGCATATCTCTTCTGTTGAAAATGAATGAAAGCTAGCAGTTGATCTAGTAATTCAAGAAAGCCTAAAACAAAACTTGAGTTGTAACATCTGCTTTTAAAAGGTTGAACATTTTTAGACCTCTGTTCTTGAGATAGCATAAGCCACCTTCCCCAGTATGGTATGCTCCAATTGTTTTGGACTAAAGATCCTAGCATTGCTGACTGAATCTGGTGGGATTTGAAGTCCAGAATATTTGAAGAACAGCAAGCAGGAGGTAATTTCTGGTGGCAGATGTCATTATAACATTTCAGTAACCTGACTGAAGACCTTGGCTGCTCTGTTGCATATAGGAAGCCAGATGGATGAGGCAGGTGTCAGGAGAAAACAAGTTACCCTGAGACCATTCAGACTGGCTGCTTACAGATCAAGGGACAACAACTGGGAACTTTCTATAGCCTAGTTTTCTAACTGCTATTTTCTTGCTTGCAGGGGGGATTTGCAAGATGCTATGAAGTGACAGACCTCTCAAGCAACAAGACCTATGCAGTGAAAGTCATTCCCCACAGCAGAGTGGCAAAGCCACACCAACGGGAGAAGGTATGTGTGACCCAGAAGCCCGAGCAAAGGAAGGTTAGATGAGGTTCTGGAGGTCTACTAGATGTTGACTCTAAACTTGCTGATCATCTGATTTTGTTTCAGATAATCAATGAAATTGAATTGCACAGAGACTTGCATCACAAACACATTGTGAAGTTCTCACATCATTTTGAAGATTCGGACAACATCTATATCTTTCTTGAACACTGCAGCAGGAAAGTGAGTTAGATTTGTGCTCTCTATCTCTCTATACAGGGACCTTGTACCTTCCACAAAGCATATTTTTTATTTCTACAAAAGCCTTCAGAAAGCTGGCTGGTTCCACCATGAAGCACCACCTTGGCTTCATCATAGCAGGATGATCATGTGCACCCAGAACAGTCCCACTGAGCAGACTGTTGAAGCCATACTATTTTATAGCACTGTGACCACAGGGCAACCGAAATGGAAACTACAAGCTGCTTGTACAGAATTATTTCTCCAGGCAGGACTAACTGGCAGATATAGCCTTCACTGGGGATCTTTCATGGGTATAAAAGATAAAAGTGTGCTTTTTCTCTTGCAACAAGAAATGGCAGAAAGTGGTTACTGGTTGCTTCATTACAGGGAATCTCTGGAATAGATTGTCTTTCATAGTGACAAAGCAATACTTCTGGCAGCCATTGTCCAAGAGTACTGGGAACCATGTCAGTCAGACTGTTCCCTGCATCTTTGGAAATCAGGATAGGAACGTCCACTTTCAGGTTCCTTGACAGATTCTAGGCATGTACACGGCGGGTTAATCTGCCTGCCTTCCCCTTTGCCTTGCTCATTTTTTTTTTCCCTCGGTAGGATGATGATCAAATACTACACTCCTCTTAAGTAAGGATTGGTCATATAACTACCTTTAGTATGGAAATTGCAGCTGCCAAACATAGCTCTCATACTACTTCAGTTGCTTGGTGTCTGTTTGCAATTCAACCCCTTGTAAACAATAAGTCAGCCGCTGGCATTTTAATGGTGTTGGTAGTTCTGGAACAGATCAAAGTTAGTAACTGCCTAACATGGATTACTTGTTGGTATGGTACTTAAATAGATTATATCAGAATCAACTCCCATATTTGGCATAGGCACTACTTCAGCTTAAACAAGCTGAACAGTGGGATCTGAATGTTTTCTCAGTATACCATCTTAATATTTGGTTCCTTTATCTGTTCCATCCTGCCTACCTTCCACAACAACTCTGTAGTAATGGAATTAGCCTTTTTGTGGTGGGCTACTTTGGTAGTGCTTCAAAATGTAACTCCAATGAGTATGCAGACCACACTGACAAAATGGAGGAGTATGCACAGTTCAGAATATAGAAAGATTTATCTTGGTAAATCAGCAGAATCTGTGGACACATTCATAACTGGGTTTAGAAACTTAAAGGGGAGAAGAACCTATAGCATAAAGGAACACCTTGGCATCCGTTTTGAAAATTTGTGGTTCACAAGATATTGTGGAAAGTGCTGAAGTCAGTCACATCTGCTCACTGGGATATTTATATTCCAATAAGCACATGGTTTTAGACACTGTTCTCCTTTCCCCTCTGTCCTGTGAGATAGGTTGGGCTGAGAGGCAGCAACTGGGCAAGTGAGCTTCATGGCTGAGCAAGGATTTGAACTTGGTTTTCCCCAGTGCTGATGCTCTAACCACTGTACTACACTGGCTCTCATATGCAATGGATTAGAACATTTAGCCATGCCTGTTCAAGTAGTGGCCTGTAAGTGGCATCTCTGTAAGTAAATCCTTTCTCTTCTAGTCTTTGGCACACATCTGGAAATCCAGACACACTCTTCTAGAGCCAGAGGTTCGGTATTACCTCAAGCAAATCATCTCTGCCTTGAAGTACCTCCATCTCAAAGGCATCCTGCACAGGGACCTAAAATTAGGTATGCGCAATATGGCTGCGTGCTTTTTTGTTAGTGTGGAATAGTTCTCAGAAAAAATGTACCTAGAAGAATTGCATGAAACTTAAACTTGCATTATTTAGAGGTGACAGGAGCCTTGAGCTGGCCCTAATTTCCCTGTAACATAGATTAGCATCATAAAAGGCAAAACCGGGTTTCTAAAACCTGGGCTAACTTTTTACATTGTGCTGTTACAAAGAAAACATTGTGGCAGTTGGAACTGTCAGGGCCCTAATATTTTTGTTCTGCAGGTAACTTTTTCATCAATGAAAACATGGAACTCAAAGTGGGAGACTTTGGTTTGGCTGCCCTACAGGAGCCTGTGGACCAGAGGAAAAAGTAGGTGGTTCAAGTTTCTTTATGCTTTCTGGAACATTTTAAATTCCTTTTTCTCTTGAATATTGTTCCAGCTTACTGTAGGGTAGAAACAAGGAGCAAAAAGAGCAAGTACAGTGCTGCCTTGTCTTGTTGCCTCAACATTTTTGTGCAGCTGTGTGTATGGTTGGGGGAGGGGAATTTGAGTCCAACAGGGACCATGGGGCTTGAAATAGGCTCCTGTGCTTCAGCCTAGAGTTTAGTGGTCAAAGAAACAATGTGGTTACTGTGTGTGGATTTGTCCCTAAGGCAGAAGCACAATGGAGGGAAACAATGCCACTCCTTATCTCTGGTGATGCCTCATGCAAAACACTGGTAGCTGCAGCTGTTGGCATGAGCAGCTGTGCAGGGTGGGAAGAAGCCCTTAAGGCAGGGGTCCTCAAACTTTTTGAATAGGGGGCCAGTTGAAAGGCTGCTGTGACTGTCCCAGGCAGTGAGGTGGGGGTGCCTGGGGGCACGGGCTGGTGAGGTGCCCTTGGGCATCGGGCACACGCAACAGTGGCTTGCCTGGGAGATCTCTCAGTGAGTCCAAAACCATCTCTGAGGGAGCAAGCCACCACCTCCCTGCCCCGCTGCGAGGCAGTGGCGAGTGCGCGGGTACGGGAGGCAGGTGGTGGTGACGGCTTGCTCTCTCGGAGACCATCTCCACCACCTTCCCGCCCACGCAGCAAGCGCGTGGCAGCACGGGTGGATGGATGGCCATGGCGGGCCAGATCCATCCCGCGGGGCCATAGTTTGAGGACCCATGCCTTAAGGGGAGGAGATCATATGCATCACAGGTGGCTGTGCTTGCCCTTTTGTAGGAGAAGCAGTAGCTCAAACAGTTGTACTTCTAATGGAGAAACTGGGAAGAAGGCTTCTGGCAGCCCCACTTGTTGGAACAAGAGAGTATATTGCTGATCTGTGTATGTTCAGTATGTGTTGATTGGAAGAGTATCCATGAGCAAAAGGGCAGGGAGGAGAGATGGCATTGGCCATGAAAAGCTTCCTTATAGCTTGGCCTTCTGGTGGTGGCAGTGACCACTCCTGTGGGATAATCAGTCTCAATCAACGGCTGTGAAAATGGCAGGAGAGGAAAATCTGAGACATTCCCAGATGCAATTAAGCTAATTGTTATGTGTGCACTCTTTTTCAGGACTATCTGTGGAACCCCCAACTACCTTGCCCCAGAAGTGCTACTACGCCAAGGTCATGGGCCAGAGTCCGATGTGTGGTCTTTGGGTTGTGTCATGTAAGTTCTACATGAAAATTTCACAGCTTTTATTGCTGAGCCAAGTCTGCAGGAAGCCCTCAGTGCTGCCTCTTCCAGAGAACTTCATTTCTGTACAGTTAAAGGAAGGAAGCAGAAGCTTGTGGCTAGTATATTCTAGTACAGTGTAAAAACCTGTGCAAGATTTGGCACTGAAATGCAGAAATTGGGCTTTGTTGAAAGCTCAGTGAAAAAGTAGCTTTCTCAAAAATGTTAAAACAAATAATCAAGGGCTTTGTAGGACCAGCACCTTGCACCGTGCTTATTGTAGCTCCAGCTTGTTTTTTATGAACATCAGACATTTGTGGCAGTTTAGCAAGAACCTGGCATGCCATGCTCTGCATCCAGTGATGCTTCCAAAGATGCTTATTGAGGGTTCTAGAGTGCATGGTGGAAAGGAATAGGGGGTGTCCTCTGCCTCTTCAAAATTGATGGGGAATGAACCTGAATGAATAGGGAAAGCTGATGGGCTGGGCAGCAAACTGGGTGTCAGCTGTGTACTAGGCATCCCTTGCTAGCAGGACTTGATGGTAGGTGGGCACATACAGATAAGCCCAAAATAACAACGTAACTGTCTTTTTCTCATGAAACATATGTAGGGCAGAGTATTTGAAAGCAAATTGAACTAACCACTAGAACGCAAAAACATAGTGATGTTGCTGCTAATGGTTCACAATCTAGTCACAATTACTTCAAAACAAATGGAAAAAGTGGCTGGCCTGCGGTCTCAGGGGCAGCTATTGAGCTCAGGTGTTATTTAGCAGCTTTCCGGAGCGTCTTAAAAAGAAATCATTTTAGGAGCCAGATCTCTGTCCTTGGTTAGCCACAGCTTCCTGTTAATTTTTCCATTTGCTGTGTTGTAAAAACTATCTCGAATGCTGGAGGGAGGGGGAGGGGGAAAGTGGTCTCAAAAGTGTGATTTGATAGGGAGCCCTTCTCCATCTAGGTACAGAACTGTCCAGAAATGTTTGGCTCCTAATGTGGCAATCCCTCGCATGCTCGGAGAGTAAAATGCACTATCTATTCATGCACAGGCTTGCACCCTAAAAGGCTTCTAGCTTTGATCACATGGAGAAGGGCTGTCATCTGCTCTCCGGATGTGCCTCCGGTCTGCAAGAACCTGGAGCAACAACAGTACCTCATAAGTTCTCTTATGGGGAACACTTAATGTTGGGTGTTGCCTCATGGCAACTTCCTCCACAGTCACTGCTGAGTCATGTGCTGTTTTAAAAGAGCCAATCCATGCTGACTGCAGGGAAGTGGCATTCTTGAGCTTCCCTTTCATTCACCACTTGCTGCTTTCCTTCTCTCCACCCCCCCACCCCCCACTTACTTAGGTACACATTGCTGTGTGGAAGTCCCCCTTTTGAGACTTCTGATCTCAAAGAGACCTACAGGTGTATCAAACATGTCACATACACACTCCCAGCATTCCTTTCCATGTCAGCGAAGAACCTGCTTATGGGCATCTTGAAACGCAACCCCCAGGAACGCTTCACACTGGAGGAGATCTTGGACCACGAATTCTTCACTAAAGTGAGCAGCAATTTTCTTTAATGTGTTGCTTCGACTTTTGGTGGAGTCACTACTAGGGCAGAATGTTGGGCTGCTATAATGTGTGATATACAGTGTCCATATGTTTTGCTTGATATGTAATTTTCTTAGAGGCAAAGTCTTCCTATGAGGCCTGTCACTGGGATCTCAGCAACATAGGAATAGTAGTGTCCCTGTTGATAAGGATGTCAGCTCCTGGAATGCTACTTGGGCTGCAATTTGGATAATTACATCCTGCTTCTAATTAACATCCATTCTCATAGTCATTACTCTTTGCCTGTCTTGCTAGGTGGCCCAACTGTGACATGCTTACCAAAGGTGCCTCTTTTTTAGAGGACATCTCCACTACAATTCACAAAACACCCAAATATATGAGCCTTGGTTTTTGTTTTTGTTTTTTAAAGGCTCCATCTTGAAATAGGAGCCTGAAAGTGCTGGTCGTGATCCAATATACATTGTACCAATATACATTGTAGGCTGATGTTTCACTCAAATTTTCTAACAGCCTTTTCTTTCTAGGGGTATACACCTGATAAACTTCCAACCAGCAGCTGTATCATGGTGCCAGAACTTACTCCCCCCAACCCTGCCAAGAGCCTCTTTGTAAAAGTAACAAAGACACTTTTTGGGAGACGAAAGCCCAAAGGTAAATTGTCCTGTTCTTCTTGCAGCTGGCTTGTACTCCTTGTTAGGTGAAAGTGGCAACATGCCAGTCCTGCCTGGGGGTGTGGGGGGGTGTCCACTTGCTCTCCATTGCTCTGAATGCCTCTTCTGCAGGTTGGGAAGCCTGGGAGGTACTAAGATTGGCAATAAGCTAGAAGGGAAGTTCTTTACTGCCCCATGCGTGAAATGTATAAATAGGAGGAAAGAGAATGTAACTGGCACTGTGGCAAAGCTCAAGCTCACTGCTACAGTTTGTGTCTGGAACAGCATCATCTCACTGCCACTGCCCCATAAGACACCTACTGTGCCTGCTTAACAGAGCCCATCTTGTAATCTGCAGGGCTAACACCTGTCACCTTGTATAGAATTGCCGTTCTCCTGACCCCCCCTTTCTCTTTCTAGTTAAGAAAGCTCCCTCTGAAGAGAGAGATGACATTTCCAAGCTGGTAACAGGCCTAGTGAAAACTTCCATCTGTAGACAACTGAGCCATAAAACTGTGGAAGGGAATGAGGTAAGCTAACTTGGCTGCTCTGCTGGGCCTTTTTAAGACGGGAGACAAAAAGGGAGATACCTTAGTAGATACTTCCAGCAATGAAAGGAATAAGATGTGCTGAACAGGCTTTGTATCTCCTTAGGTCACCCCACTGAGTGGTCAGAGTCCCAACTCTAGCCCAGCAGAGACTGTAGGAGAGGAGGGCTCGCAGAAGTCGATCTCCAGATCCATTCGTGGGACAATGGCTAGTAGCTGTGAAGGTGAGAAGTGGCAGTATGTCTCAATCCTTTCCTACAATCCACCATAGCCTGAAGGAACTATTATCCATTACTATCCATTAGAACTTAGCCCTTTGTTGTGGATTATTCGTGGATTATTATAATGGCTTTTCAATTACATTTTAGGCACGCTGCCATTTAACACTGGAGTTTCTTTCTCAAAATGGCTATTAGCCAGGAAGGCTATTTGCCTTCATACTAGAGGCATGGTAGTTCTGAGTATCTGATGCTGGAGATTAACAAAGAGGATTAACTAAGTTTGCATTAGCCCATGGCTGGTTCTGGGTCCTTAGACTTCTGGTTTCATCAGGCAGATCTTCACATTCAGAGCCAGGCTGGAAATGGCTTAACTGCTCAAAATGGGAGGTTTGGCTGAGAGAAGTCTTATTTTCATTGAGGTAGTCCTCCAATAAAAATGGATTTCCCTACAACTCCTATTTGGGCTCCAAGCTTGGCAAGTAGGGGACCCTTTAATCCTGACCCCATGTAAACTCACTTGTAATCCCTTCCCTTGCCTTTCCTCTCTAGCATTTGAAGACTGTGCCACAGCATCAGTTATCATTGAATCTGCTATTCAGCTCCTGAAGAACTGCCTCTCTGTCATGCCAACAGGTAACCCCTTAAATTTTTGGGAATATCTCATCTCAAACTCTATATGGGATGGCAAGAGACAAATGGAAGAGCTGCCGCATTGAAAGCTAGCGTTTGGTGCAGGGAGGAGGTGAGGAAACATGGGGATCCTAGATGGCATATGAAGTGTTAGGATGTTCACTCTCCTTTGATTAGGACTGATGAAATAAGGGATCAAGGGTAGAACTGAGCAGAAAGGCTGTCAGTGTAGACCTTAGTGCCTTCTTTTCACTCTTTGATAAGAGAGGCTGTGTGTACCAGTACTTGAATGGCAAGGGGCCGTTATCACTGGAATGCGGTTTCTCACCAGGGTGATTAGGAATGTTGCCTAATGATGCAGTTTTCGGCCTGTTCATATTCCAGACATGTAGTCAGTCCATTTCAGTGCTATGTTTGGAATAACTTGTGATATCTACTAGCAGCAGTATGAGCCTTTCTTCTAACTTCACCAAAAATTTTTTTGTGTCCACTGTCCAGCTGAGATGAATCCTGCTTCTCTGGCCTGCCATGAGCATTTTGTTTGGGTGAGCAAGTGGGTGGACTATTCCAATAAGTATGGCTTTGGCTATCAGCTCTCCAACCGTAGCATTGGTGTCCTCTTCAATGACGGAACTCACATGACCCTCTCTGCTAACTGGAAGTGAGTGAAAGAAACAGATCGGCTGAGGGACTATGTATTTGTAGGCATCCCTTAACTGGAACTGGGGGTTTCCTGATTGTTATGGTGAGGTAAACAGCAAAGTAGGGAAAGGGAAAAACATCCATGGTTTACTAAAATCATGGGAATGACCCAAGAATAAGCCTGGAGAATAAATTGTATCCCTTTGGACAGTTATTACTTAATATCATCAGCCTAAGGTGACGGGAATAGTTCACAATTGTTTTGCATGTAATTTTGATGCAGGATGTTACTTGAAAGTCTGATCCTGAAATAGCTTCAAGAAGACTTAAAACTACACTGGGAGACCCACTTGGGGGACGGGGGGGGGGGCAAAAAGGCTGTGGGGCAACAATTTGTAGGCCACAACTTTTGAAGGCCCACAAAATCTTACCAATAGCTATGTAAGTTGTGGCCTTCCGAATGTTCTGAACTACACTCCTGTAGTAGGTACTTTTTTTAGTAGAGAGCAGGTGCCCTGTTGCTGCTACTTTCCATGAGTTCGTGGAGAGATGGTGCCCATATATGCTACAAAATGAGAAGGTTGTAGCTCTATTCTGTCCTGCCCATGCACATGCTAGTATCTGCTTGGCCTTGAGGAATGGGTTCAGGGGAGTCCTGGCTATTGCATCTAGTTGCATTCGGTTGGATTTTAATACTGGTCTTTGCATTGGATTATGGGTTTATGTTAATCATTTTAATTACTGTACCTGAGGTCTGCTCATATAGGGCAGGTTAGAAATATTAAAATAACTCTACCTTTTTGTTCCTCAGGAAAATACGTTACAACCTGACAAACAGTAAGCATTTTTCCTTCCTGGCTTCAGCAGTTCCTGAACAGCTGCAGCGGCAGATGGGTGTCCTGCAGTATTTTGCTTCATACATGGAGCAGCATCTCATGAAGGTGAGCAGCTTAGAATGGGTGCCTTCCTGCTCAAGTTGCATTAGTTGCTGACAGCTGAGCTGCATGTGGGTAAAATATCTGGCTTGCAATATTCTTAGGAACCACCCTCTAGAAAGTATTTTGAACATGTTCAAAGCTCCTAGGAGAGTTTCCTCTTCAAGATTTTCATGGAATGAAGCTAAAAGCACAACAAGCTTCCTTTCTTGTTTGGACAGGCTTTGCTTGATGGGTGCCTAAACACGAAGTACACCTGTGATGGCTCTTCACTTGAACCTGCACTCCCAGTTTCCTTGACATTCCTTCTCACATGGCTTTAGCTCCCTGTACTCAAGGAATCTCAATCGAAATTAGGGAGCATTTCCTCCCCGAGGCTGGGGTGGGGTTGCACAAGGGCTATTCCAATCCATTTTCTCTTAATGTGGCCTGTACTACTTATGTACCTGGCCCCATTGTCCCAATGTAAGCAAAGAGGTTATTTTTCTCCTGGCAGAGCACTGAGAATAGGCTGGTGGTACTAAGTGGCTTGTTGGTACTGAGGCAGTCCTCTTTTACCATCTGTTTCTAACTTCTCTCTTTTTCTTCAAAGGGAGGAGACTTGCCCAGCATAGATGAGACTGGGCAGCTGCCACTGCTCCTCCTGCAGTGGGTGAAGACTAATCAGGCCTTACTGATGCTCTTCAGCAATGGAACTGTGCAAGTAAGTAATGGCATCCTGGCCGTAGTTCAGCTACCTGAGCCTGTGTCCTGTCCTGGCTGAGAGATCTTCATGAGATCTTCACAGGCTGGCTCCTCATCCCCAGCCCCTCAAATCAGCTGATATGTACCACTGTGGATGGCTTAGAGGAAATTTAAGAAAAATACAAACACATGCATTGGTGCTTATACAGCATTACTGCTTGGAACATATCAGACGCTTGTAGATTAGATGTGCAGAACCTCAGGCTTGGGTCTAAGTCCAGCCCATTGGCATTCCCCAGATACTCATGCCGCTTCTCCTTTCTCTGAACCACTGATGGGATTCATCATTTCTTGGAATGTGTGGTATTTGCTCCCCATGGTTGAAATTCTTCTCCTCAGGCTTAATTACTGGTAGCAGAGTTTTAAGCTAAAGTGCACTGGTATCTTGGCCCCAACACTTTTGCTTTCAGATCTCCCACCTCTAGAAAGCAGTCCTTAATAGCTTCACTGAAATTGGACCTCTTTCAGCCTGAAGGCAGAAGTCTAACACAATCGCTATAGATCCCTTTCTGTAAGCTTGTTTCCAAGCTTTTCAGGTTTAGACCTGTTTTCCATCATACTAAGTTACTATGAGTTAATTAACGCCTAGAGCTTAGTGGTGTGGGTGGACAGCCATTTTAGATGTTCAAGCCATAACCATACAAGGGTGGGTAGTTCACATGATTAACAAAGCACCTGGATCCCATGGGCTTTTTCAGGGTTGTAGGTTGTAAATCACTCCAAGAACCCCTCTATTTCCCAGCTTTGCACAACACAAGTTGAGGTCTGATGATGTGCTACAGCTCATCATACAGACTTTGTAAATAACTTACTGCTTTCTCACTTAAAGGCTAGGTGTGGGGAGAGAGAACTACTGCCAGAGTTGTTGGATGTGATCGCCAATATCTAGATGCAGGCATTGGTACACAAACCAGTTGGGATTCTCAAAGGGTGGGGCTAGCTAGAAAATAAGCAGTGGATATGCGCATTTGGAACACAAAAGGCTCTATTTTTTTCCTAGGTTAATTTCTACCATGACCATACCAAGGTGATCTTGAGCAAACCTGACCAGTCCTGCCTCCTCACCTACATAAACCGTGACAGGAATTCCTATACCTATAAGCTCAGCAGCATTGCAGAACTTGGCTGCTCACCTGAACTTCAACATCGTCTCAAGTATATTCTAAAGCTGCTACAACAACGAGCAGATGCCTAAAGCTATAGGGTAGATTCTTGGAACTTTCTGTTCTTCCACAAAGTGCTGTGTTAATAGAGGAGACAGTAATTCAGGGTACCAGGATTCTTCCTTCATGAATGTTTAATCTTCCAGAAGGGAAAATTTCCAGGCCAAGACTACACACATGTATCTCCAACCTGCTCTTCAGGACCCATCAACCTCTGGATGCCTACCACGAACTTCCTCTTGTATCTTTATTTTTCCCCAAAGGGAGGATTTATTATTTACTTTGACATGGCTGCTCCAGTCCACAGTGGAGAGGCAGTGTAGAGATAGATGCCTTAGGTGTTACTCCTCTGTGATCATTGCACAGTTGGTTTTGCACATGGTGTTCCTGGGAGGGAAATGGGAGGAAGGAGAACCTGTGTACTCTTTACTCAGGATGACAACAGCACTGGATAAGTAGGCAGGGTAGGCAATTGCTACTTTAATTTAAAAGATGTTTTCTGGAGTTTTTGTCCAGTATCAAATACCAAATGGTTTTGCAATCCAGGGCCTGATGTATAAGAAGAGCTTGAGTTCAGTCCATGGATTAAGCAGTCTTGGTCACAAACCATTTCAGGCCCTTGACATGCTACTGCTTTCTGCTCATGGACTTAATTGTGTTGCTTGGAGTTGTACCACTCACCATTTCTTACTTGGCTCTGATTCATGGACCAAATAAGAATGCTATGAATGGGAAGTGGCTACTCTGTCTGGGGAAGAAGTAAGTCCTATGCAACAAAGAGGCTGTAGCATAGGTGACTTCTCTGCCAGGGAGCCAAGTAAATGACTTCTCCATTTCAGTCGTAATCTAGAAGCCAAGAGGCAGGGAAGCAGGTAACGGGATAGTAGCTGGTGGTCTCCTGGTGTTGGAAGGAGGCAACTGCCACAACTTGAAATCTTGAGGGAGGAGTTGGGCTTAAGATAGCTGAATCTTCAGCCTGAAACAGGGATCAATTCAAGGTTCTAGTGCTTCTGCTAAGCACTTGAGCCAGTGAAGGTACGTGTTGGGTAATAGAACTGTTACACTAATTAGGCAAATGGGACTTCCTTTTTGCTGAAACTATGAATGCCCAGTTTGCCTCAGTTCCTTAGCTGCTTTCATTCCAAGATGCAGCAGAAGGATTCTCTAAATCTGCTGTGGTACAGACTTGAACAGCTTCAGTGCAAGCTGCCCACTTGACGTTTTGAACTTGACCAACTGTTCAGCTGTGGAGCCTAATGGTGTGAAGATTTATTTATGTATTTATATGAAATATTTATTTTGCACCCATGTCCTGTTGATCACGCACAACGTATCTCCCCACACCCAGCAGTCTGATTACAATAAACTCTGTTTTACTTTTAAAAAGAGTGCAAAATTGCTGCTTCAACTCCTAACAGTATCTTGTTTGTCAACAGCTGCTTGCATGGGGTATTGCTGATGCAAAATGATAACTTCTTTGTTCTGAAATCTGATATTTATTTATTTATTTTGGGAGACTTCTATGCTGCCCCATTCGCCGAAGCCTTGGGGCGGCTCACAACCATAAATAAACTTTAAAATACAACAATATAAATTAAAAATATAAATTAAGTCACCCTGGCCAAAGAAAATGAATAAATAATACTAACAATTACAATAACATTTGATACAGTATTCCAACTATGGATTTTTTTCAGATCAGTGGGCTGGAAACTAGGTTCACATTTGGAAATGCAGAGGAGGTGAAATAAGCTTCAAGGAAGAACTTGGGTGACCTCAATGAGCTCAAACATTGCATATTTTCCTCATTCCTACCAGACATAGTCTTGACCTTGGTGGCATTAGCCAGCAGAGCAGCCTGAGCTTCCCCCTGCCTTGGAGTTAGTCCACTAGGCAGGGCAACTTGCCCTATGGGCTGTCCTCCTCCAGACAGATGCCTTCTCCTGTGGTCACACTCTTTACTCATTACTCTTGCCTAGCCACCAGCCTTTTAAAGCCATGCTGCCATCACTACAGGAAGCTGGACAAAGCTGAGCAGCCACCCATGACTCTCTCCCCAGATAGCCAGAACTGCATTCCATAAAATGCAAATTCTTACTCCCTCAAGCCAGAGACTTAGGTGAACCTATAGGGATGTATGTGGCCTGTGTTTTAAGTACAAAATGTACTTGGTGCAGAATGGTCTTGCTGTTCACACCTGATGTATCCTGGGAGAGACTGGAGTTGAAACATTGAGATTAATGGGACCAAGGTAGAAGAGGCAATACAGGTAACTTTAGGGGAATAACTTTATTTAATAACATTGAAACGACAACTTGTTATCCACTTAGAGGACCTAATACCTGGAACAGTGATCAGTTATGAGAACAAGACTGAATGTAACATTAATTCCAACAGCAAAGAACAATCTCAATCAATACCAAACACAATTGCAAACAATTTAGAATGTGTAAAGGTCTGGGAAAATAAAAAGCTGTGCTTGATGTTGACAATATCACAAAGACAGTGTCCGCTGAGCTACTATGGGAGATCATTCTACAGCTAGGATGCCACCACTGAAAAAGGCCCTTTTTCACAAAAGTATATGTGAACCAGAGTATCAGTAACCTCATCACAAGTACCTTGCATTGGGCTAGGAAATGTGCTGCAAGTCTGTGCAATTAACAGAATATAATAAGCTAGAATCATCCAGTCCTAGTTAACTCAGAGCCTTAATCTGGACTGACCATAGTCTTTAGAACAGTTTGAAATGCAGCAGTGTACAAATCATTGCAGAAATCAAGTGGGAGGTTACTGGAATGTGGGTAGTGGAAAGAAGACTATCTTAGTCTAGATAGGGTCCCAGCTGGTATGTCAACCAATAAACTAATTAGCAGACTGAGACTGTTGGGTCCTTCCTGTAAACCAGCAACATGGCAGAGCATGATGCTGTACAGTGAATGCAAATTTGTACCAGTGACTGGGTGGGGCATCTCTGCCCCAAGGGCTGCATGCCAGCTGTAGACGTGGCTGAAAGTATTAATGGGTTAGCCAGGGCTGCTTCCCCCTCCCTTCAGGTAGTTTATTCAATATGCAATTGGGATGCCAAAGATAATGGGTCCTCAAAACTGAGCACCTCTGCCCTCCCATGCAACACATGGCTGGCCAGCTAATTCATGATCCTACTTGGTTGGACGATTTCTTGCACAAGCATGTCAAGTGCTGGAGAATCAACCCATTTTAGCACTGTCTTTGCAGGACAGTGCAAGTTTTTATTTTTCTTCCATTTTCTCATGGTCTTTGAGGACAAATTGGTATGATTTTCAAAAACATTACAGTGGTACCTAAATAGAAGGGATGCATTGTTTAGGCAAAGGGGAATATGAAGCTATTAAAAGGATAAAAAACCCCTAAGGTAAGTCACTAGTTGCTATGAGGTAGCTTTGCTCATATTCCTTGTCTGGTATTCTGCTTAAGTAAAAGATTTTTATCTAGTGATTAATGGAGAGGGCTTTCATTTCTTGCACCATTTAATGCTGGCTTAAACTAAATATAGGCAAAAAAAGCCTAGTCAGGTTTGTATTTATTTCTAGCTAGGCAAAAGTAAGAGGAAAGTGGCCCTAGTATCTGCAAGCATGGCTCATTCAAAATATATCCCATGTACTGTAGCCACAGCAAAGAGTGATGAGTTGGTGAAAGTAGCAGAGGCAAAGCTGTCATTCCCCACATCCCAAAGGGACCGGCTGGCAATAAGCAGACCTTGGTTGGCCTGCTGGCCCAGGAAGACATTACACACCAGTTTGTACCTAGATGGGGTTAAGTCTTTGACTCTGTTCCGTATAAGGTCTGACAGGTTCTGGACTAACTGCCCACTGTTTGCAGGGTTGTACTTGGCATCACCTAAGTAACTTGCCAGAACAGATTCAAGAACCTGCTGCATCCGGAAAGAATTAAATTTGCAGCCTTCATCTGGCTGTATCTTGTAGGTATTTTCATAGTGTGCCTCCCGAATGGGTTCAAAGAGTGGTAGCCCAGAAAAACTCACTCGGCCACAGTGCATCCAGGGCCCAATGGACAGGCGCCTTCCCCCAGCAACCAGTGAGTTCCTCCTGCTGGAAAAGGGAGCATTGAGGATGCTCATGATAGAGCTTCTCCTGGATGTTGGCAAGGGAGCTTTCCCTTCTTCGGTGCTCTGCAGACGCAACAGCTGCCGGTGTGCCACATCTGTGGGCTGAGAGTTCCGCTGGGGAGGTAAGGACCCTGCCTTTGGCTGGGCGGAATTGGTATCTTCTGAAGACATTACCTGGTTGAGCATTTCCTGGGTCAGTGTTGGAGGCCAGTCTGCCATTTCTAAGTAGTCAACCCCTGGGGCACTAGGGAAAGACAAGCACAATTTGCTCCATTATTGTTGGCTAGGACCATGGTTCTTTGGCAGCCAAACTTCTTTGATAAAGTAGGCGAGTTTTGTTTACAAGAGCATTCTTCAAATGGCTCCATTCTTCCAAACCAGGCAATTTGTAATACTAATGCAAGAAGGGATAGCTTAAATGACTGCTGTGGCCAACTAGTGTCTGTAATATATTTACTTTTGCCAACAGTTTGGAAGGTGCCATGGTAGCTGGCCACCTTATGCTTAACCATGTACTCTGGGAGCCATGAGTGTATGATTGTGCATGTAGGTGTATAAATATCTGAATGAAGAAGATCCCTTTCTTGGGATGCATCTTTTGCTATAGGGTGCACCTGTTTGGCAAACTGGAGCAATCATCAGTTCAGTGTTCCATTACTGCAGCCTTTCCCAGCCTGATGCTCTCCAGATGCACTAAAGTGCAGTTCCTATGCCAAATGGTTAAGGGTGATGGAAGTACTAGTACAATTCTAGAAGGCACCGGACTGGGAAAAGCTGCACTGCAGTATACATTTTCGGGGGGAAAAGTGACCTGTATCCAGGTCTTTGGCACAAAATGTATTTATTTCAATGTACCTCATTTTCAAATATGGAAATCAGAATACCAGTAACTACATATAGTATTGATTTGTTTGTGTGTATTTTCCCCTACATTAGTACAGATTAGGATAAGATTAATAGCCCTCAAAGAGACAAGAAAGTGAGTCTTCAAAATTGCCCATCTTGGAGGTCCTTCCTCCCATGTTGCTTTCCTGGTCTAAAGTATTGCCATTCACTGCTCTGTTACCAAGTTTCTCAGTGTCTTGGAATGAATCTGTACCATGTTCCAACTCACTATTTTATACTTCCTGTCTTTTTACTATTTACCTTCCACAAGAGTCTTTGCATTCCGTGGGGTTACAAAGGTCTCTGGAGAGATGCCTGGGGAAGTTTGTGCCCACAGTTCTTCACAGCTGTTCCAACTATAAAAACTTCTTGCTCTAAAATACTTCCAATTTTACTGTTTAGAAAATGATCCAATTTATGGTCTGCTTGTAGACCTCTTTTTAAAAAGACTTTATTAATATTTTTTTGAGGACAAATACGTGAGTTGTTTTTAAATAGTGAACAGCAGATACAGAAACTAGCAATCCATACTACAGGCTTATATGTTGTTCAGAATCATTTTTGAAAGTGCTAGAATCTGTGTGTTCTCTCTCTCTCTCTCTCTCTCTCTCTCTCTCTCTCTCTCTCTCTCTCTCTCTCTCTCTCTCTCTTCCTGACATCATGACAGCAGATAACACCCTACTTCTTGCACTTCAATGTTCAAATGTGCATTTGGTCAGAGAATGCACAAACATGTCATTGTCTGGCTATCTGATCATATAGCTGTCTGCCTTTACTTGCCTACTGCTGCTGTTGGATGCTCTGATTTTGTTGCCCACCAGTCAAGTTTATATTTTTAAGTCTGCATGTTTTGATTCTGTCTTGATACTTTTCATTAGTTGCTTTGGAGAGTCTATTATAGGACAAACTAACAGGATAAAATGTTTTAGTAGAGGGAAAGAAATAGAATGGGGAAACAGGACACTTTTTGTTCCCACTGCTCCTTGCCCCACCATCACTAGCTAGCTGCTTAGCTTGCAGTCAGATTTGAATCACCAAAATATGTAGATGAGTGGTGGGGCCACCCACTTCTTCTCTGGATGAACTCTCCACCACCACCTGGCTGCTTTCAGACATTTCAATGTGCCCCACGTTCTAAGTCTGTTGCTATAAGTTATAGTTAGGCCTTCCTCCTGAAAAGCAATTTTGTTACTTAAAAAAAGTATGCCTTACAGGTGAGACTTTCTCATAAGTCAACCACAACTCTAGATTCTAGAAGGAAAAAGTTTATGGAGAAGAGGGATAAAAATGTGGAATAAATGGGCTGCTCCTAAAATGAGAGGGAGAGAGAATAGGAAGAAAAGTTGCAAAATTATGTCTAATTATTTCCCTTCAATTCTCTTCTATCGAAATTGCAAACTATAGGTGCAAACTACATATAAGAGAATTCCAGAGATTGCACCTTTGTTAATAAAACAGCACTGATACATGGGCACACGTTTTTGTTTTTAGCAATACCTTAAAAGCCCTATTTTAATTTTATATTTTAAGCAACTATTGTCCCACATCAATAATTTTGAAATAATGTTTTTATACAGCATTTATATACCAGGATTCCTTGTAGACAGAGAAAAGTAGGAACTGAAAAGTAATTTCTAATTTGGGTTAGAATCAGTAGTCTCCATTTTATGGAATGTTCTCAAACACTTTAACTGTGTTATCATGAACATTCATCATCCAAACAGCAAGGACTGATAATAATTTAAATGATAGCAAAGGTGTGATTTCCCACCTGGTCTTTCAAGGCATTTTATGGGAGCATTCCCAAAACCCTCTGTTAACCTGTGTATTTAGTCCGGATGTACCAAGCTGGACTTCTACCACAGTCTTTAACACAGAGCATAAATCTTCCTCCTCTGTTTTTAAACACTATTTGAACAGGTGAAAATATGCACAAAACTTAACTTCACTTGATAATTTAAACTGTACAGTGAGATCGTTAAATCACATTATGGGATTTTGTGGACACACCCTTGATAGATTGCAACAGATGCAAGGCAGTCTGTCAAAAGCGAAAACAAAATGCCCTGCTTAGTCAGCAAGAGGGGGTGCCTTGTAGAGTGGAAACCCAGAGGTGTTACATCCCAGCCAGTCTTACCTGGAAGCAATGCAGCCTTGCACAGAGGCCAGTAAGCTTGCTAGAAGGTGAGCTCGGCTGGATATGTGAACCAGAAAGGCTCTTCAATGCCCATTATTTTGTTAAAGCTTGCTTGGGCTTGTTGTGAGGGCCTGCCAAGGCCCCCACCCCTACCTCCCTGCCTTAATAAGCTCCCTCCCTTGCCATGGTAAATCATTGGCCATTTAATGTGACAGTTCAATAGAAGAGTCATCAAGGGTACCGTGGCAGGACTGGGCAGCCTGCCACCCAAAATGGAAGGTCTCCATGGAGACTGTATCTCTCACATTATTTTTTGCACAGCCTGGAGTATATGCGGGAGGGGGAATGTGAATACTCTATACTTCGTGGTAGCTTTGGGGACCCAGGAAGATTGCATTATGGACTAATGGCCATTGTGACATTACAGCACTAGGCCAAGCTAATGAAATTCCACTTTCAGCCAGGGCATTTCCTGGAGGCCATGTCCCCTTACTTCAAAGCTTGCCTTCAAAATTGTGTGTCTATGGTTGGTGGCTGAAAAGCATTTAAGGGCCACACTAAATATGAGGTTGATTGTGTACATGAAACTGGCAGGCTTATCTAAAAGGAAACAGGCAAATAGCAACTGAAGGGAATCCCGAGCAATCTAGTGTGAGTTTTGGAGGGACAATTAATCCCTTCTCTAGTTGCCTGGGTCAAAATCCCCTCACAAAAGGGGCTATATCTGTTTTAAGAGAAGCCTGACACCAAAAGGAGTTTCCCTGAAAGTACAAACAGCAGTTTTGGGGGGGGGGGGTGTTTAACTCTTCCTCTGCACCTCCTACAGTTCTTAAGTTGATCTAACTTCCCTTGTTTTGCTTTTTTGTGCCTCTTCATTGGTTTCATGCACGCAACATCCCATCTAGTTTGGCCCTCAAGCCCCAAGGCTCCTATATATGCAATTGGCATTCCCAGTTAGAATCCCCTTGGCTTAATCTTTGAATTGCCAGTTCTACCAGGTAGATTGGATTTATTCGTTGTTTGTAGTGTAACTAAAGGAAAGGAAGGAACTGTCGCAAGCTGTGTTTCCTTTCTCAAGCCTCGATCTGTTCTCAGCAAAACTCTGTTTTTTGTTTCTACATGCAAATCTTCCATTCAAGTCTCTGAGCATACACAAAGCAGTTTGTTGAACCCAACCTGGCAATTATTTTCCAAACTCTCCTTATGAACACACTTGTGCCCCAACCCACAGGGGAGCTATGAAAATTAGTGTGTTTCCACACACTTCTCAACCAATTACACTTTTCACTGATGCTTCTGCCTAGCCATGGAGGGTCTCTCAGAGGGGAGTGACTGATCTCCGTTTGAAATTCCCCCATCTCAACAGCCTCTCCCACTTCCTGTACCTCCATAATGTTTCCAGGGTCAGTCTCCATCTCTGCCCCCTCATCTGCCTGAGCTAAGCACCAGCTTATCTACTCCCTGCTGTATTCCAGGGCCTTGAGCAAAGTCCTGCTCTTCAATCCCATCTAAACGTTCCTATTCTGAATCAGAATCTGAATAAGCAAAATTGGTGTGATGTGCAGTCTGGCAGGAATTCTTGGTCAAGCCCGCCATCCCACTTGCTCCCAACAGGAGCAATCTAATTGGATGGTCCCTTACTGTGTAAGGATTATAATTTGGTTCCAAAATATCATAGAAAACTTGTGGATATATTTAAGATATGCCCCCAAACATTCCACTTAATGGAGTCTATCGATCAGCAGTGGCATTCATCTTTGCATTTTAGTCTACTTGGTTTTTACTGGGAGTATAAGCAATGTTGTTAAGTTGAATTAAGAGTGCGATTATCCGTATGCATCTACATGCAAATAAAATGTAGGGGTCTCCTTACCCTTCTGTTAGAAGCTGCTACACTCATTGAGCTTCAACACCACCATGAAGTGGAGATTGTTATTGCTGTGTGTGGTCTTGATCCTGGCATGATGACTGGGACTGACAGCCAATGGCATTTGTTGATTGTTATCATGTTATCAGACCATAGGGTAACTTATGCTGAAGGGCTGGGTATGCTTTGAGTGTGGGTTGTTACTTGAACTAGGTGTTGTTGTTGAAATGTGGGTTATTGTGTTGTCTGAACCCAGCCAAGATAATAAACCATGGTGAATAACCCACAGTTCACAAGCCACCAACTAACTATGGGTTCTTTTCAGGAGTCTCTCACGGCTCAGCCCAGTGTTGTCTGAAGTCACATGCTGCCTATCTCCTTTTCAATCAGAAGTCTACCTTGCAGCAGAAGGTTCACATGTTGTAACAAACAGGGAATGGAGAAACCTAACTACTTTGAAATGTCTGCTTTAATTTATAGTGGAATCAGTGCAGGAGCTGCCTCTGAGGATGTGCTCAGCAGCTACAAGTCTCCAAGGTTTGTGGGAAAGATTTTTTGGTGTGCTTCAGTCTCAGCATCTCTAGTTATAGAAAGGGAAATGTTCTGTATTGCCTCCAGATGAAAGTCAAACTCCTGTCAGTAACCTGATAGGAATGCCACCCTACATCAATTTTGCCAGTTGAGTCACTTCCTTTATGAGTTTTATCACTTTCTCTTGTCATGATTCCTTTTAAGGCCTTTTTAATCTGCTTTGGTATGTCAAGGGAAACATAATGGAGTGACATGCTCCAATTTGTCTTTTCTTGTAACTTCTTGGGGGAAAAAAATAATGCAACAACAACCAAAAACAGCAACCAAAGGTGGAAGAAAGAAACTACAGAGGAGAGGAGCGGAGAGGAGAGGAGAGGAGATAGAAAAAGAGAAATAGAATAAAAGAAGCAACATATACAGTTTATCTCTGCACATTACATTCTTGGACTTCTGTACCCAGTTCTGAGCTACCTGTCTGTTTTTCAGTGTCAAAGCTCTAATGAGCAAATGCCATCTTGCCTTGACAACCTGCCTAACTTTGCTTCTCTTTTGATTCCACTCACAACCACTCCCCTCTCATCTTTGCTGAACTGATACTTGTTACCTTTGTTGTGATGAAATTTTCTTTCCCTTTGAAAAATCTGTTGGTTTCTAGTCAGTTGTTCTTGGCCATGCTCTGTCTCCTCACTGGCTTCCTCCCTCCTTCCCAGTCCAGTCCTTCACTCTATACTTTGCATCATTACCCAAGCACGCTTTTGCTGACCTGTTTATTTCTGGTCCAATTTCTGCATTCCTCCACTGAAGGCATTATTTCTGATTATATTGGATATGGTTATCCTTTGATTTCTCTGTGCCTTACTTTGCATTTGGTGACCTTGCACAGAAAGAGAGGAAGGTGTTCAAGGTGCTGTGTGTTTATTTTGTACTGACACATTTTGTTGCTATGTGACACAGAGTTTCCCCAGGTACAGCATTCTCCTTTAACTCTTTGTGACCAATGAATGACTGAAGATAGGACATCGGAAAATCTCTTGACAAGTCTACAGACATTTGAATCCTGATGCTTCAGAACCAGTTCTCCTACAATATTTTGCTTTGATTGTTGACCCCACTCCACCCCGCCCACCCCCATTCTCAGTATAACAGAAGTAAGTCTTGAAGAAACTTCAGCTGACTATATAAAAAGTCAGTTTTTGCACATTGCTGGCTGGGAAGTCCATTCATCTTGGTTTTTTCCTTCCACAGTAACAAGGGGGCAATAGTTGCTTATTTACCAGTGGTAGTTTGATCTGAGAAGAGTTACTAAATGTACCATAACCAGGATGAGATTTTGTGAAAGCTGTGTAGTTAGCAAGTTCATTTTATTACATGTCACTATAGGATTTTAACTTTACCTGGAAAGACAGCCACAAAACAGAAAAAGTCAATCAAATCTATAAAATCCTGATGGTCTGCCACATTCCTGCAAATCAGGAAGGGGCAATTTTTTTTAACAAAGAAGAAGATTGGTGCTAAGCTGCTTCCAATGTTACTGCTGCAAGTCTCCCTCTGGTTGCTTCTCCACCTGCCTTACCCCTTCAGCTTGTTTGCTCTGCATACATGCACCTGGAACTTAATGGAGAGGGAAGGTGAAGGCCAGAGATCACTTACACTCCTTCTCTCCACTCTACTCCTCTGTTCCAAATTGCCCCTTGCAATCCTGCTTTGCCACAAGAAAGAAGGAGAATAAGTCAGCATTAGACAGTTCATGGTAATATAATGAAGGGCCTGCTCACATGTTACCAGCTTGCTGCTTCTCCATGGCTCCATCTGTTGCAGTGTATCTGTGATTATGCCCCAATCCCCAGCAAGAACCATGCACTTCTGGCAAAGAGCCAGTTCTTACCCATTATCCTTCTAGAGGAGTTTGCAGAAACAGAGTTAGTGATCCAAGAAGGAAGCAAAAATTATTTCCTGGCTATATTTTTTAGAGGAAAGAAAAGAAAAAGGGGAGGATCTAGCTGCAGTCAGGCAATTTTCTACGTGCATAGCAAATCCATTTTGACAGGAATAGCTCTTAATTACCAGGTAGACAGTTATACATATAGAAGTGCCTCATACACAGAGCTGGCCTTTACTTAGGCTGCAATTAGCCACTCACAGCATGAACCTGCTTCACTCAAGGCCTGAAACCTTGATGGGAGTTGATTAGGGAGGCTTCAGTCTCTGGGTGGTTTGTGGAGACAGCAGGTACATTCACATGTCACAATAACCCATCCTGGAAATAAGTCATGCTGGGCTGGTTCTTCCCTGAATAAGTCACAGCTTGTCACCTCTTGCCCTCTTGCAGTATCCCCTGCAGTGTCTCAGAGGATATTACAGCAGTACTGACTTGTCTCTCCCCTATTAGAATCTCAGAAAAAAGTGAAAAAGTGAACAAAGCAATGCAGAGAGAGAAAGACAGGAGACTCTTGCCACAAAGTGAGTTCAAATCCCACCACCCCTATTTCTCAAGCAAAGATCATTTGTACCTTTGGCTTTCCTTCCTACACTCTGGTATCATAAAGAAGAGATCTTGATCTTCCTCTTTGTGGCAGCCTTTGAGGTACTTACAGACTACGATAAGATTCATTATTTGAGTGTCTGGCCAGGTCCCCGCTTAGGAGGTGGAGTGGGGTGAGATGCTGCAGTAATCCTAAACCATTTCTCACTCATCTTCTTTCCCCCTCTGTATTGGCCTGATCTAAGGAGAAAGGTGATGATGGAGAGTTTTACATACACCCCACAAGCTGGCACATGCAATCAGATGCGGTGACCCTGAAGCAATCATTTATATATGCTGCAGGGAGTTATGCAAACAGTCCTGGCAACTCTGCCCAGGCAAAGCAGGAGCCCTGAGGATGTCAGCTGCAGAGATGTGTCGTTTTCGTTTTGCTGACAAAGGCATTGGTAGGCATATGATCCTCCGATGTACTCTTGCAAAACCCGAGCTGGTTCTGAACATTAAGTCCCCATGCAAGGCTTCTGCCCATTTGCACTTTTGACGGCAGCCCCTAAGATGGCTCAACTCCTTTTCCGTTCACATTTAACATGCATAGGCACAGCCCAGTTTGCTGGGTGTGGGTGTATGTTTTAGCTTCTTCTGCAGCCTTGCTTTGGTTTTGCAAAAGCCTTTCCCTTCCCTGCTTTTGTGGCCCCTCCTACCGCAGCTGGATTTTAGGGCCTGGGCAGCTGCCTGTTGCCTGGCAATATGCAGTGTTGCTTCCCCCTTCTCTGGCCTTGCTCTGCATTCCTGCTTTGCAGCTGAGCTCCCAGCCAGCCGTGACTCCTCTCGGTGATATCCTTATTACAGACAGCAAGCCACGGCGGCCCTCACTGAGCCCCTTGAACGAGGCTGCCCTAGCCTGGGTCACCGGAGAGAACCCGGTTCCAACCCATGGCCTCGCCCTGCTCAGTCCTCATGCTAGGGGATTCAGATGCCTTTGCTGCCTCCCTCAGGACTCTCATCAACAACCCACAGTTCAGGTGAGCCAGCTGGGAGAGCCAGCCAAGAGAGCCTGGGGATCATTTCGTGGCTGAGAGCAAAGGCCGCAGCTGAAGCGACGAGGGAAAACACCAGGCGGAAAGCTGGGAAGAAACTTTTAAGCTTGCTCTCCTAGCTTGTTGAGCTGGGAGAATTCAAAGTTTGAGAAATGAGGAATGCTCCATGCCTTATCCCAATGTCAACTGTGAAGAAGACCATATGCCCCCCGCTCACACCAGCTCAGCCTGAGTGTGTATAGGAGTAACTTCTAGGCCTGCCAAGTCACGACTTCGTGCAGCTCCCCTTTGTAGAGCTGCCGAAGATTTATTGGAATTATTATGGGTTTGCAAAACAGTACTCAGGTTTATGTAGCTGCTGACTAGGGCCATCTATGAAGATGTTATCTTTAAAACCCTGCTCTGGAGATCATTTGAGGAGGAAAATATTTATTTGAAAAAGTAGCCAAAGAAGTGCTTTTTATTTTGCAAACCTTTATCTCTGTAAACTTATCAGCTGGAGGGAGGAAAGGTTGAGTCACAGGAGTGGATCAGTGAACTTCTGAATACAAAATAACGTTACTAAGGCATGAATCAGAATGTTCTTAGAACTCTTTATATGAGCTGAGGGGTGTGTGTGTGTTTGTGGGTTTAATATGGACATGTTAGTGAAGGTAAAAATATGTACACTGGAATGTGTGATGTACAGCATGAATGATCATTTGTATGTGGCTGTGTGAACTTTGCATACGTTGCTTGCTCAAAATATTATTTGCAAGGTTGGCAAAGTACTATTTAATTGATTATAAATAGCTTTCTATGGTTGCAATTGTTGCAATTTATGTTGCAATTTATATCCTGCCTTTTTTCCTACAAAGGGCTCAAGGCAGCTTACATCTCCTCCTCCATCTTATCCCCACAACAACAACCCTGTGAGGTAGGTTGGGCTGAGAGTCTGTGACTGGCCCAAAGTCACCCAGTTGGCTCCATGGCTGAGCGGGGACTAGAACCCAGATCGTCTGAGTCCCAGTCCCAGGCTTTTAACCACTACACCACACTGGCTCTCCCACTACACCACACTGGCTCTATGGTGACATCATAATGTAATTATCATGTTATCTAAGTGTGCAAATGCTTTACAGCCATTATTATACTTTCCTCTGTAATCTGATGAAGCAAATTATTCCTTGCATTTTGCACATAAGAAACTGAGGCTGTGGTATGGTGACATGACTAAGAGTACAATCCTATGCAGGCTTAGACTGAAAAGTCCTACAATTCCTGGTGTGGCTTCAGCCCAGACATGCATGGAATTATGTCCTGCATGGCTCAACAGGAATTTTAATTGACTTTAATTTTATTAAATGTTTCCATATATTCATTAAGTCACTTTATTTTACTCATGCTGAGTCATAGCTTTGTCTTCTGTATTACACCAGGTACCAGCATTCACATTCAAGGGAGAAAGCACTGGGGTTGCCATATGCACATTCGGCAGGTCATACTGGTGATCCATCATCTTCAACACTTTTAGGATTCATTTGGCTATATATTCTTTGTTTCATTTCTATACCACCTGTAGTCAAAGCTCTCTGGGCAGTTTACAACAAATGAAATTAAATTAAATGAAAATAAAATACAATAGATAAAAACATTAAGAATTAAAAATTATTTAAAAAGTAAATAAAAGAACATTAAAAGACAAAAAAAGTCCCAGCCAAGAGTAAAAGAAAGGCACCTGGCTAATTCTATCAGGCTGCTGAGTGACCAGGGATGTCTTTAAAGGCTTCTGCAAAGAGAGCTATCTTAATTTGGTGCCAAAAAGATAGCAAATGTGGCAGCAGGCAAGGCACAGCAGGGAGGTTGTTCAAAGATGGGGGCCACCACCAAAAAGGCACTTCCCCTAGTTGTCACCTTTCAGGCATCTCAAAATGAAGGCCCTACAGGCTGAGCATAGTGTCCAGATCGATCAGGGCAGGGAGAGGTGCTCTGACAGGTATTGTTTCCCAAGTCATGCAGGGCTTTATAGGTTAAAATCAGCACCTTGGATTAGAACTGGAAGCATGCAGGCAGCCAGTACAAGTGGGCCACAACGGTTTTATATGTTCGGACCTCCAGGTCCCAGTTATTAATCTGACTGCCACATTCTGCTCCAACTGCAGCTTCTTGACCCATCTTCAAGGGCAGCCCCACATCGAGTGTATTGCAGTAATCTAATTTACAGATCACCAGAGCATAGATTCCTGAAGCCAGGCTATCCCTGTCCAGGTAGGGGCACAGTTGGGCCATCAGCTGAAGCTGTAAAAAAGCACTCTAAGCCATCAATGCCACCTGAGCCTCAAGTGACAAAGATGGATCGAGGAGCACTCCCATTCTACAAACCTGCCTCTTCAAGGGGAGTGAGTCCTTGTCTGGAACAGATTGAATATCCCACCCCAATCTGATCCAAGGAATCATTCAGTCTTGTCTGGATTGATTTTCAGTTTGTTCGCCCTCACCCAGTCCATTATCATAGCCAGACCAATGTATCACATCCATATGCTGACAATGGCAACACACTCCAAAACTCTGGATGACCTCATTTAGTGGTTTCATTTAGATGTTAAATAGCATGGGGGACAGAACAGACCCCCTGAGCAAACCAGTGCTGGAGAATCCACAGGGCTGAACAGTATTCCCCAGGTATCACCTTCTGGAGATGGCCCTTCAAGTAGCAGAGGAACCACTGCAATGCAGTGGTCCCCACTCCCATCTCAGCCAGCTGCTCCTGAATAATAACATGGTTAATGGTAATGAAAGCCTCCAAGAGGTCCAGCAGTATCAACAGGGGTCTCACCCCCCTGGTTTACTCCCAGCACAAATCATCATACATTCTGGTTAATAGCCATTGGTCTTTCTTTGTTAATACTGACACTTAAGAATTAATCTGGCCACATATGCATTCTGATTAGTTACACTCTCTAAAAGGTGTTGTTCTCTTGAGTGAAATACTACTTACTTATTGCTTGAAATATCACATATTGCTTAAAAGTGTTCTAGTATATAGGAAGCCAGTTGTCTATAGACTCCAGCCAAGCAGTGGGCCAAACATTAGCATTTTCCTGCAGCAATGCCTGACCCAGCATGGGTAGAGCAACCAGACCTATCCCTTAAACTTTGAAGTGCCACATTATGAACAACATTTTAAAGTGATTTATCTGTTTCTATCAAATTAGGCTTCTTTGTATAAACCATGGTGCCTTATTCATTCCTTATAATGGCCTAGGATTTCTATTACCATCTCTGCTTCGTTGTGTTTGCATAATTAATATGGCATACAATGTGGGACAAGTCCATAATCTGTTCAGTCCTGCCAATGGATGGTGCTGCAATCTGTACCATACAGAGTCAGAGCTGTAATCTGTAAACACTAGATGAGTAAAAGCTTGGGATTGGAGTTGCTCATTCTTCTCTTAGCATTCCAGAGAATGATGGTTAATTTTACTTCTAATCATTAGAGCATCAGGTGCAGTTAATGCTGGTGCAGGGTTCAGAGTGGAAATTTTCCCCTTTATTCACTGTGGGTCTACCTGCCGTTTTAAGACATCTAAATGTGTTTTATTTATTTATTTATTTATTAAAACATTTTTATGCCGCCCCATTCGCCGAAGCCTCGGGGCGGCTTACAAGATAGATTTTCTAAATACATTAATTTTCTTAATGGTTCTATGGATACAGTGCTCATACTGCATGCTTCAGCTTTTCATTTATAATATAAATGGGTTATTTTTCCTATTGTATGTTCTAAACTGAAGATACAGCATCTAAACAATTCAAGATTATCTTCCCATGTAGTAGTGGCTCAAAGTATATTTCTATGGGCAGACCTAACAGGACATTGAGGACTGTACCCCTCTACAGGTGGTAGACTTAAATTACTTTCGGGCCCTTTCCAATGTTGCAATTATATTATTCTACTATATCCACTATAGCTTGCATTGCCTTTGTGATGCATCTTTTTTTTTTTTTTGAAACTGACTTGCTTGAAGGATGGGATTCACTGCACAATAGTTTATTTTCATGTTTACCTGTTCCTCAACACCAGCCATTTGTAAGGTGGTTTTAAACAGTTTGTATTTTGCTGATTGGAACATTGCTGATGAGGTCACACAGAAAGGTCATTTGAAACCCCAACTTAAGGCCCTTCCAGACAGGTGGATATATTTCCATAATGAGCGCACATATGTTGCTGATTTCTTTCATGGAGATACATATGTCTTTGCTGTAGAGATACTGCATTTTCCTAATAGTCATAAAAAGGTAGCCAATGAGATTTTCTCTCCCATCTAATACATCCGGGGAGACATGAGTGCTGTACAACGCATGCTTGTGTGAGAATTGCAGGCACCTGTTGAACCATGCCTTAGATTTAATTAGTGGGAAGCCTTGGTATGACCTAGTAATAATCAGTTATAAACTTACAGAAGGCAGAGTGTAGCATGCTATGAAGAAGTGACAAATATCAGCCAAATAGGCTCGTTTTCTCTACAGCAATGCCTGCAAGAAGCCTACCCAATTTTAGTATGTAGAGGTACGATATTATGCAACTGGTGCTAGATCTGGGCCAGTAAGTACAAGTCTCTGGTGATTGTTAATCTCTATTATGCTACTGTGGCTCTTGACTGGTATAACTAGTAACTGATAATTGTTTGTGTCAGAGAAATCATCACCTCTCAATGCAATATTAGTAAAAGATGCAGATCAGTTTTCTGGCCCATAGAAGTGAGAAAGTCATTATGTAAAGGAAAATGTAGTGAAATACCGAGTTAATTGCAGAACAGACATGGCTGTGATATCTAAGTGAATATACACCCATGCAAGCCACAGTGTGGCAGGAAAATCCTCCTACATGTTCTCTTTCACCCGCTGCAACTGTGGTGGGTCCTTATCATTTATTTGATGATCCTACATATATCTAATTTGGCAATCTACAGCGCTGTTTGGAATGCAGAGCTCAGGATCATGAGGTTATCCTAATGACTACTTTTAAGCTAATACTGGTTTCCGGTTTCTTGGTGTCTGCTGATCTGGGCATGTGCATCCATTGCCATGTGCTGAGATTATTCTGTTGTTTGGCATGCTGTGGCTAACCCACATTGACAGGCCAAGCCTATATGCATGCTGTGCTGGAGGATGGGAGATAAACTGCCACTACACTACTGAAATAGCTGTCATACCTAATGTGTGGTCAGTGTGGAAAGGGAGAGAGAAAGCACACAAACAGGAAATGCAAAAATAGCATCAGAATGGAAGACATCCCCAGCAACTCTGCTGGTGTCCAGCCACCTGGGCCACTGTTGATCCATGTAGAGGGAACCAGCAAATTCAGATCAACAGGGGCATGCCGAACCCCACATCACCTCTGAAAAGAAGGCAATGCCATGCTGCCCCCAGTCCATCAGCTCCAGGGGCACAACCAGCAACCATCCTGCTATTGCCAGTCTTCAGGCAGTCCTACAGGCAAGGGCTTGGATCCCCTTACAACGCTTAGAATCAACTTTTGGAACATAACACAGAAAAGGGAGGAAGCCATACCTACCTGATGTAGCAACCACATAGTTTCCTGGCAAATGGGTTGCAAAGAGCACATGTTGCCTCCCTGAGACAAGGGTTTATGGTCCATGCAAGGAGCAGAATGCCCTTTTGTCAAGTGGCCATGGGGAGGGGCCAAGGCGCATAACAAATGGGCCTGAAACACCCTCCAGTGGCTTCCTGTTTAGGACACAAGACTGGGAATTTAGCTTTTGCATGCCTGGGGTTAAATAGTCCTGTGGTGAGAGAGTTCCCAGGATTTAAACCCACATTGCAAACCCCAACGAACAGTTCCTTAAGCATTCAAGGCATAGCAGCAGACACATCAGAGGCATTATGCTTCACTTGCCACTCCCTTTCCCAAGACCCACCCTTGGATGCAAGGGAGCACGGGTGCTTATATATACCTGGGAATGCCACTGTCCAACACCATGAATCTTTATTTCCAAGAATGCCTGTGAGGCATCCTTAGAAAACAAAAGTGGTGGGTGGCTGCCACAAAATCCTTTATAATATGTTCTGCTGCCCAGGGGAAAAAAGAGAAAAGCATAAGCTGAGGCATGCTGGGGTGTGTGTTTGTGCTGGTGTGTGTGTGTGTGTGTGGGGGGGGGAATTATGTGGTCTCTGTGTTGGTTGGTTTCTTTGTGGTGTGTGCCTTGCATTCTGTGCGTGTGAGGCTTGCCTGGGCTTTTACGTTTGTGGGTTGTGTGTAGTTTGCCTAGAACATTTTGTCTCTTATGTGGGTGTGTGGCCTGGGGGTGTGAGTTTTGCCTGTTTGTGTGTTTCTAAGTGTTACTGGTTTACGGGTATTTTGTTGTGCTTTGGTTTCCAAAGTGTGACTTTATGTTTTGGAACTCACCTTTCCCTGCCCATTTAGGCCCCTTGTACTTAGGCCTTGGGCTTCTTATTCTTTTAGCTTCACCAGTCTGATTTTTGAGAAATGAGTGTTTTGTGACTGGCTATGCTATCATAGCCACCATTTTGTGAGATTGCCTGCAATGCATTCTGGACATGCCAAATGTTCCCATCAGCCCTCCAACATGGGAGATCTCTGGCCCAGGCTAATGGCCTGACCCCTGCATGAGCCACCTCAGCTCCTGGCCTATTCTCCCACCCCCATTTCCTAGTAAGCCAGCCCTGCAGGGCAAGATAGCATCACAGTGGACCTGACTGCCTTTCACAGTGCATACACCCTGATGGCTGGAGAGGTTTCCCTCCTCACAGGCCTGGAATCAGATTGAGGCAGGGGAGCCCTGAGCCCATCCTGTGCTCTTACCAAAGCATCCCAATCTGAGGGCAAGCTAAAGCCAGAGCATGCTGGGGAGGTCATCCATTTGCATGTGTTTCTAGAGACAGGGCCCCGCCGATGTGGCACCGTGTATCTTTTCCCAAGTCTCAGTCCAGAACCAGCCCAACATGTTTTGGGTGAGCTCTGTCTCAGTTCCTATTGCAGATGCTGCTTAAGAACATCAGTTGCACATTGCAAGTTCCAGGGACAAATCTTGTATGTTAATTCACTAAGATCACAATCCCATTTTTGTTTCTACAGACAAATGTAGAACTTCCAGCAGTCCTTAGTCAGCATGACTTGCAGGGGCATATTGGGAGCTGTAGGATTTTTTTTTTTTTTTGCCTAAGCATGCATAGTGTTGTGTGCACTAAGTGTCCTTAGAAAAGTCTGCTAGCATCCTTCTGTAATATGGATGTAATTCTACTGACCTCTCTTATAGGAAGTTGTAAGTATAATTGAGATAATAAATGCTTTGACTACTTATGTATTATGTAAAGGATACTACTTTAATACAGTTTAGTGTTTCATGCATCAATTGCAAAATTGATGAGTTGTAGTGGAACTTTGTTGCTGACTTTCCAGGACTTGATCTATATTATTTTTGTTAACAGCTTCCTAAACTTACTGGTGCATCTAATACGTTTCAGATTGCTTTCCTGTGTTTCTTTAGCTGAGAGTAAATTCCACTGAACTCAAATGCATATTTTGTTTGTTTCTTTACTTTCTCTCCATTCAACATGAGTGTTAATAGTTCATTGTAGGAAAGCTGCCTTTTATTATTTTCTGTTATAAATAAGCCCTGTAGATCAGGGGTCCTCAAACTTTTTGAATAGGGGACCAGTTGAAAGGCTGCAGTGACTGGCCCTGGGCTGGTGAGATGGGGGTGCCTGGGGGCACAGGCCGCTCGCTTGGAGATCTCCCAGCGAGTCCAAAACCATCTTCCAGCGAGCGAGCCACCACCTCCCCACCCCTGCTGTGAGGCAGCGGCCAGCACGCGCATACAGGAGGCAGGCAGCGGCGGCTTGGAGACCATCTCCGAGGGCGGGCGTACGGGAGGCAGTCAGCGGCTTGCTCTCTTGGAGACCATCTCCAAGCGAGCAAGCCACCACCTCCCAGCCTGCGTGCGTGCTTGCTGGCCAGATAGAAGGCCATGGCGGATCTGTCCCGTGGGCCGTAGTTTGAGGATCCATGCTGTAGATCCAAAAAGAGAGAACTAGACTCATGATGTGAAAAAAGTCCTATAAGGTGCAATCCTATGCATTTTTTTTAAAGGCCTACAACTTCCAGCATGCCCCAGCTTCAAAAATTTTCACACTGGCTGGGATAGCATCTTAGAAGGCAAATAGCACAAACCGAAATGTATGCCTTCCCGTGGGTGTATCATATCCATGTACAAGTGCACATACTTATGCTCATTGGTATGAGAATGAGAGAGGGAGAGTGTGACACAAATGATTTCAGGCGTTTTAACCTAATGTCTTTCAGGGACAAGTAAATCAGGACTGCAAGTGACAGCTCATTCCAGGCAGAAATAACAAATCATACAAGAGGCTGAGTGTTTCCTTAGTTCATTGTTGGGTATTCCCTCTGTCCAAAGCCTCTTGGTTTTAAAGTACTGCATCATCAAAATATTTTGGACATATTTTTGAAGCTGTTTAAGGCCTTGTTTTAGAACTAAAGCCAATTGTAGATGATAGGGCTGTTATCCAAAGTGTTTAGCTGAGTGCTTTACCTCTGTCACAATCCAACCCAAGAATGGCACCTGTTGACTGCAGCCTTGCTAACTACCTGCATTGGACTGAACTAGATGTTCATGGCAGCAGACTCGTGTCTCAGAAGGTGAGTCACTGCTGAACAACTAGAAACGGTGGAATGTGGGGCGATGAAGTTCAGAAGTGGTGGGTGGAGAAGCTATGTAAGAACGCTTTCAGCACCCATTGCAGTCTTGCCACCCACACCATGCTATTCCATGCCACCTCATTTCTCTCACAGTAAGGTTCATTTCCAAACTTGGAGTCTAATTAGGAGGAGGGTTGTAATGGAAATTCAATGGGCAGGGGAACATGTCAACACTTCCTCACAACTCCTTTACATGCAGCCAGTGATGTAGAGCCTTGCAGTCCGGTGGGCTCCCAAATAACCACACTCAGGGCAGCAGGCAATAAGGAGAGTGGCAGCAACTGCACCAGGAGGGACGTGCAGAAGCCTCTGAAGGTGCCTGCCGCACCCTTTCTTCTTCTTTCCTCCTCCTCCTTTCGCTTCAAAGATTTGATAGCTCCTGGGAGGGTGCCCAGGTGGTCATGTACCTGGTTACAAATGCTCATTTTATGAATATTTTGCTTATTCCCAAGTAAACTAGGACAGCAGAAGCAATCACCGTGTTATTCCTGCAGTTACAATGGTGTTATCTTTTAAGTGAATTTAAAATGTGAAACTGCATAAACTAAGAGTATTTTATTTTATCAGGCTGGCAAGAAGTTTTTCCCTATCAGTTACCACACTTACTACAATTTTAAGCGTGTAGAAACAGTTTTAAAGTGCAAAAACAAACATAGGGAAAGGCAGGGAAGAAGAGCAATGCTTAGTGTGTACTTCACATTAAAATTAATGCAACATTGTGATCTAGAGAGTGCCCCCACTCCTGCTAAGACTGTTAAGTCTAAAATTACCTACTGTAGCTGTGCCACTATCTGCAGCAGATCAAGGACAACCCATACTCTAAGTCAAGGGGCTGCTGCTGAATAGGTGGTTTGACCCATTATAAATTTGCTTTGAGCAGAACTTTGCAGGATGGTGCTCAGTGGAGGCAGCTGCAGAAAGGGGAGAGGAGATGGCTGGGAGTCAAGAAGTGTGCACAGTCAACTCCAACAGCTACACTGAGATCCCTGTTGCCTCTCTTTTCACAGCGATGTGACATTTCTGGTTGGCAGAGAGCAGAAGGAAGTCTTTGCCCATCGCTGCCTCCTGTCCTCCCGCTGCCAGGCATTCCATGCAATGCTGAGCCAGCCCCAGAAGGCACCACAAGCCCCACTGATCTTGAGCCATGTGCAACCCGAAGTGTTCCTTGCAGTCCTTGAGTACCTTTATAGTAACAGTGTCACCCTCAACAACCTCATTGTAAGTATGACTCCTGGTAAGGGTGGTGCTTCCAGAGAAAGTACTAAAGAAAGGGTGGGCTAAAATTAATAAATGGTGCTTTTAAACTGTTCGGGAATGAGATTAACAACCATTCTAAACCAGAACTGCAGATAAATTAAGACATACCACCAGCCCCACCAGGTATGTTTAGCAATGGAAAAAATTAATATCCAACATTTTCCACCTTCTGGCTGATGCTGTTGAAGATTTGCTCATTGTATGGAGTGTTTTAGTCATGTGTTTAATTTTCAGTTTTCATCCTATCTTTTGTGAATTTGTCATTTTCAGCCACTTTGACTATAATTTTTTGAAGTAAAATGACTCACAGATTTATGATTATGAGTTATCATGGCCGCTTAGTAAAATTTATATTCTTTAGGACTGTAGTCTAGTAAAATTCATGTGATTATGTTTTTTTTATAAAAGCTGGCCATGGCAAACTACTTGCCTAGAAAGCATAATTAAATACACTAGGTGAATGGCTAATTGCAAGACCATTCTAATCCATAACATTGACAGCAACTGATACTGGAACAATGCAGTGCAGCAGCTGCTTGGCTGAATGTGCTACAGAGCTTCCAGGGACAAGTAACATTAAGACTAAGTAGCATTACTGTCTTGTATTGGCTTTGTTCCATCTTTTGCTTATCCTTATGCAGTTCCCAATGTCTGAGGCCAGTCTTTTCCCATAGAGCCTTGTATCACAAGACTATTGCACTGAGTTCTGAAATGCTGCCTCTTCTCATTGCAGCATAACTAGAAAATGGGAGAAGGAAGGGGGCTGGGTCTTTGTGCAAGAATCCTGGCAGAAGCCACCACTGTTCGCAGCTTCCAAATAATGAGACTGTTACTTAGCTTTTTGTTAATTTAAAGCTGTTGGCTGCAATTCCAAAAGCATTGGCACAGACCTGATTCAAGAAAGGGAATGGAATTATTTGAGGGTCATTGGCTTAAAAACCATGCCCAGCGTATACTCTTAAAATCATTTGTTAATTCACTTCTTATATTTATAATAACTATACATTTTTACACTTAGTGAAAGCTGTTCGGGCAGTTCACAGTATGACAAAGCATAATATAAAACTTTCAACAGATCGACAATTAAAACAGTTTGAAACAAAGAATAGCAGTAAAACTACCAGGACCTGATTAAATACAAGCGCTAATATCAAAAGGTCCATCATAGCCTTTCAAATCTTAACTTGGCACTGAAAAGATGTCTAAGCTGACAGCAGGCAGACCTTGCTGGGGATACCATTCTGCAATGGAAGGTCCATCTCTTCTGTTGCCATCCTCAGAATCTCCCTCACAGAAGGGCATCAGATATGTGTCATAGTATCCATGTAGGTTTATACCAGAAGAGAGGTGCCATTTGTGGTTGTGGGCCTAAGCCATGTAAGGCTTTATAGGTCAAGAAACAAGCATCTTGAATTGGGCTTGGAAGCTTACAGGCAACCAGGGTAAGTGGGCCAGCATTAGGCTTATATTAAGAGTGCCAAAAAATGTATACACAGTAGTTTGCCATAATCTGAAGTGTCTGGACGCTGATGGTAACCACTTTGAGCACCTCTTGTAATTGCAGAAGTCAAATGTGACTTGTATTCATCTTTTGTTATTGGTATATATTGAGTATTACAATTTTAATACAGTTTTTTCCTTTCTTAAAAAGTGTATACATTTTTGGCATCCTCTGTATATACCAGCAGGAAGGAGAAGCTTCTTCATTGTCAAGAACTGACTATTGTGGTGTACTGTTTGTCAGAAAAGCAGTGTAAACATTAGAATCGTCAGGAGGATAAAGAAATCCTACAGAGTGCTGAAGGGTAAAAGAGTGAGATGGTTTGGTACAATAGATTTGGGCATGTGACATTGCTGTCAGAGAGGGCAACTACAAATATACTAGACTATAACTCCATTTTTTTTTTTTTCCTGTGCAGGCTTTGGAGGTCCTCACGTCATCTGTGGAGTATGGGCTAGATGACCTCAGCAGGGTAAGAGCTGTGCTTTGTGGCTTATCATGGGATGTATGTGCAGGTCTGATGTAAGTGTATCACAAGATCTGGATACTGGATTGTTCTGCGAAAAGGATTTAGATTTTGCTGACCACTGATGGAGGTCTTGGGACACCACAAGGCATGCCGTTAGCCTGCTAATAATTAAACCCAAGCTCCTTGGATGGCAGTCTCAGGGGATCCAAGACAAGCAGGATTTCCATTGTAGGGGTTCTTTTCAGTGAAACGAGAACCTTGTAAATGCTGGTGCAGGCCAGATCTATAAAGTGGTCTCTTATTTTATTTTATTTTATTTTATTTTTTATATTTATATTTATATTTATTTATTTGGGATTCTTACATGGAGCCCCATTCGCATAAGCCTCAGGGTGGCTTCCAACAAATTATCAAAGTATGGCAATGTTAAAGCAGAAAAATGTTCCATCATGCTCTTTTCCTCCTGCCTGTGGAATTTGGGAAATGATGAGGAAATTATCAAATGAATGATGGAAAGATAAATGCTATGCACAGTTATATTAGGCTCAAGCCTGAACTCGACTGAATAGGAGTGTGTAGGTACAGGAGCCTTTGCTCTTTGTTCTTCAGAGCGCATTTCTTCACGTTAGAGAGCAGAAATTTTGAACCTCATGATTGACCTTTAGTTGAGCTGTATATATATATTCCATTGCTTAGTATTTAGCAAGCACTTACAGAAACTGAGCAGAAATTTCAGAAACTGTCCTTGTTACATGAGTAATTAATTTCACTTTTATGAGTGGGCAGAAGTCTGTCTGTCTTAGTTATTCAGATGGTCTTAGGCAGGGAATTGCCAGGGGGTCTTGAGAAAGGGAAGCTCTGTGATGTAATTACAAGATTAACTTTACTTTTGGGAACCAGAAACCAGCTATAACTTTAAAACTGCAGATGCCTTGGAGGAAGCAGCATAGATTGATCACTTTTGAGCTCATACCGGCTTTAGGAAAAAAAATGCACCACTAATGACAGCAGAGGAATTTTGATATAGGAGGAATTGCTAGACATTGACTAGGTCCAGACACACAATGAACCACATTCCAGGGTTGAGTTTGGACCAAGTATGGGCTGTCATTGAAATGTGTATTATTGCTGAAACATGGGTTATTGTGTCATCTGAACTCCATTATGCTAACCATGAACTACCCCCAGTTCACAACCAGTAATAAAGCACTGGTTCTCCTCATGGACTACTTGCCTTTTTTCTTCTTGCAGGAAGCCAAAGCTGCTTCTATTGTTCTTCTCCGCTCCTTTTTATTCTCACAACCGTATTGTGAGGTCACTTAAACTAAGAGTCAGTGACTGGCCCAAAGTCACATAATGAGCTTCGTGACCAAGTGGGGACTCAGATCTCCAGAGTCGCAGTCCAGTATTGTAACTGCTACAGCACATTGGCCATTGAAGTTGGTGGATAGCTCTAGACAACTGCCCCGTCCCCCTACAGCTGTGGTGGAGAATAGTATCCCGACTAACTCCTTAGCTGACAATTGCACTACACTCTGGGTGTGTGTACTACCCCAGCAGGGTGTGCAGTTCCCATACATCAAGGCACATCGCAGCACAGCCTTAGCAGTCTTCACCGTAGAGCGCACAGACTAGTGCTTCATTCCCCAGCCTGGCCATCAGATACTGGTGGTGCAGGCAGCTTACCATAGCCGTATGCTCCTTGTGCACTTCCCTGCCTCCCATTCTTTTCCTAGACCATCTCAGCTCTCTTCCTTAATGTAAAAAGCAAACTACCTCAAAGCAACATGGTCATAGGTTAGCATTGAACCTGGGGTTAGAGGTGCTTTAGAGGAGTTTGAAGGGGCTGACCAGGAGTGCACAGAATTGTTTGTTTCATGAAGCAAGAGGGTTAGGGTTTCTGTAACATTGCCTGTTACCACCAGCTGTGAATGCGGATGGGTCAAGAACAGATGCTATATATGGAAAAGAGGACAGAAACATTTAAAAATAAATTATGTGTGAGCACAGCGGAACATAATAATTTAACTTTAATATTAATATTAACATTCTTCTGTTGGAAAAGTTTTTGATGCGCATGTGACTACGTGTGTGTTTTTGTAATTATGTCCTCTGGGAGAGTCATCATTTTCCCAGCTCTGTAGCATCATTGAACTGTCTAGAGTTCATTCCAGACTTCCTGATGGCCTTCCCAGAAACAGCATAGCAGTAAAGACTCAGAAAACTGTGAGAAAGTAAGCAGAGCTGGATGAGAGCGAGAGCAAAGGCCTGGGGGTTGGTGAGCAAATTGGTGATTTTCTTTGGGTTAGGAGGAGGACCTGAGGAATGGACAGGGGGTTGGGTGCGGAAGTAAACAAAGAGCTGGTCAGGAATAGACATTTCCCCAGCTGCTTTCTGAAGACGTGAATGCAAGGAGCACTGGAGAATTTTATGATCTCTTGTGTCCCCACTGGATCAGCATTCCAAGAATAGGTCTTGTGTAGCCATCAGGAGTTCCCCTTCTGCTGCAAGGATGTGGGTGTAGCAGGAAAATCCATTGTGCTGACTTCACTCATACACCACAGGATACCTCATGAAGGCAACAGGGAAGCAATACATGTCATGGTCTCACCACCTTTGAGAAGAAATACCAGTGTTGGCCGGTGTGGAAATTCTAAGAGATTGCAGAAAATTAAAGAATTTTGGATAAGGAAGGATATGTTCTGAAGCTTTTATACAATAGACAAAGTTGTACTGTGAGTTGGAAGTGTGAAGCGAGAAAATGAAAAGAAAAGAATTATGGGGGAGATGGGCAAAACCAGGATGAATTCATTGTGACAGACTCAAAGAATAGCATGGTTAATAAAGGTCCTCTGTGAGATATGTCACATAGATACTACTTTACCTTTCATCCCTTGACTTGTCTGGCAAGTCTTCCTCCCAGAAATAACACAACAAACAATGATTTCTGGTCTCACTGTACCTTTTCAAATTGGGTTCATGGTATTCTCAAGGGCAGTGGTGGAGGGGGAACTCTGTCCCTCAAAATGTTCTTAGTTCAAGCCAGGAGGCACAGTAGTCAAGGTCTCTGGGAATTGTAGTTCAATATCTGGGGGCCCATAGGCTCCTCTAGGGTCCCCCAGATGTGTACCTTAAAATGTATTACTTAGGATTCCTTTTGCTCTGCGGTAAATTGTATAAATTAGTCCTTCATGTCATTCAAGGAAGCAAGTAATACACAACAGATATATTATTTCTTTCTGATTCAAAGTATCTGCTGTTCTACTAGCTTAGGGTGACTCTGCCTTGTTTGTCTTTAGTATTATGTTAGTAAGGCTTAAAATGTTTTCAGCATCTGTTTAAGCTCATAAGGCTGGGAGATGGAGTGGTTTCCTGAATTCCTGAATTCTTCTCAATTTACACAGGTTCAAAGATCTTGTAAAAGCGTCCATATGCTGGCAAGTCATTGTTCAAAGTTACTTATAGGACAGTTCCTGGCAATTATGACAATAATTATACACACTATCAACGCTGGATCAGGGTTAGCGGCACAGTAGGTTTGCCATTATGAAGCATACACATATACACTGGGGAGATTATAGCTTTTTTAAAAGTTTGAACACAAATCTAAGGGTGCCCTGGGTATCAGATTTCCTCATTCAGGGCCTTGAAGTGAAATAGAGGAGCCATTGGATCCCTTCCAAGCCTGTTTTTTTCTTAATGCTAGCCAGTCAGGGAACCAGAAGTACTGATAGTAATTGAACCACTACTCATATGAATTTGAGATAAGTTTGTAGGTGTAATTTTAGAAAGGATAGGCCTATTGCTGGGAGATTCTGTGGTTTTACTCAGACACTTTTAATGTCAATGTAGGCATTGGCAGGTGGCACAGTGGTTTAAACCGCTGTGCTGCTGGGCTGGTTGATCGAAAGGTCGCCGGATCAAATCTGCACAATGGGATGAGTTCCCATTGCTCCGTCCCAGCTCCTGCCAACCTTGCAGTTCGAAAGCATGCAAATGCAAGTAGATTAAAAGGTACCACTTCGGTGGGCAGGTAACAGCGTTCCATGCACTTCGGTGTTTAGTCATGCTGGCCACATGACCACGGAGACTGTCTGCGGACAAACGCTGGCTCCCTCGGCTAGGAAATGGAGATGAGCACCGCCCACTAGAGTCAGGCATGACGACTTAATGTCAAGGGGAAACCTTTACCTTTAGGCATTGGCTGTGGGACTATCTTGCCTTTTGTTTTCTGTTTTCCTTCCTCTGTATTTAACTCATTTTTCTCCTCAGTGAAGTCAAATCAGATACCACATGCAAATCCATTTAATTTTCCCCTTAAAACATCTTTTCCCAAAAAAGCTGCTTTTAGGAGTGCTTCTTTAAAGTAAAGAAGCAATGGGGGAAGAAAATATAAAAATCTTCCACCTGCCAGTTTTGTACTCTAAATAATTTCCCCCAGGTTTCTTCCCACTCCCACCCCTGTATTCTCAATGTTTGCTTGTTCTCCCAGCAGTTGCTTGGAACCACATGCATTAAATCTAGTTCACCCTTTACCTGATGCTGATAGGAAGAGAGATGGGAAAAGAGAGATGAGGAGCAACGGCTTTAAACATATAGCAGGAATAAATGGAGATTATCTGCAATTAATATATTTATTTAATGAATTTAAATCCTGCTATTAATAAATACAATATACAAAACATTAAAAATGAAGGGTTGAATCAAGAGTGGCCATTGCATAAACAGAAAGGCTCCTTCTGTCTGTGGAAGGTACCAAGACCCAGAAGGGTCTTCCTGTTGGAGGAAAGGGATACTGAAGTGATCTTTGCCTATTCCCTGGCAGCTCTTTGTGTCAGCTCTTTGGAAGATGTCCTAAGACTCCAGAGCAGCTTTTTGGGAGACTCTAGGGTGATGGTGGCAGGAAGGGGGCTGCAAGGAGAAGGAAGAATCATTAATCCTGCCTCTGCTCCAGTGTATTCTACTAGGTGCTATTCAAATTGTAACCCACTGCCAGTAAATTA